TTCCAGCGTTTCTACCATTGATGGTAACATTTCTGGAACTCATCATCTTGTAATATCCTCCAAGACCCTCGTCACAGCCTTTTGGACATCTTGTGTTGTTTGAAAATGGTGCCCCTTGACCGCCGTTTTGACTCCTGGAAATAGAAAAAAGTTGCACGGGGCGATATCTGGTGAATAAGGTGGCTGTAGTAATGCTGAAATTTGTTTTGAGGTTAAAATTGCTATACTGACAGAGCAGTATGGTATGGCGCATTATCGTGATGCAGAATTCAATTACGAGCAATGTTGGCACGGACACGAAGAACTCTTTTACGAAGTCTTTCTAAAAAATTTTTGTAGTAATATTGGTTAACTGTTTGTTCAGGCGGTACCCACTCTTTATGATCAATTCCCTTGGAATCAAAGAAGCACACAAACATGCATTTCGCTTTTGACTTTGACATGCGAGCTTTTTTTGGTCTGGGCGATCCCTTTGAGCACCAATGCGAACTTTGGCGTTTCGTCTCTGGGTCGTACTGAAAAAACCAACTTTCATCACCAGTGATAAAAAGTCTGCTCAACAATTCTGGATTGATTTCCGTTTGCTCTAAAAGATCGGCTGCCACATCTTTCCTTGTTTCTCGCTGTTGTGATGTAAGATTTTTGGGGACCATTTTTGCACAAATCTCTCTCATACCAAGATCTTCAGTTGTTATTATTAGACGAACCGTTTCTCGATTGATGTTCAGTTCTTCTGCAATTATTTTAACGGATAGTCTTCGATCAGATCGTACGAGTGCACGCACCCTGACCAAGTTGACATCCGTCCGAGGCTGACGGCCGTCCTCTGCGGCCTTCATCTTCAACATTCGTTCTGCCTTCACTAAACATTTTGTGCCAACAAAAAACTTGAGCTCTTGCTATAACCTCCTCTCCAAAAGCCTTCTACGCAATATTATGCGGTTCCATTTCCGTGACGAGAGACACAAACACGTGTTAATGCACAACAACTGAGCTGTTGCATCTATGTGCTGCTTGGACTAGAAGCAGCTTACAGACCAAGGTCAAAGATATTGTACCTACGCAAACCTGCAGACTTGCCACATTAAAAAAAAATAGTCTCATTACTTTATTGTCGCACCTCGTATATACCTTTACAGTTTACTGTTAAATCTGAAGTTAGTGGAAACATTATTTGTTTCAACGAAGCCTTGACAGATGTAAAGCACAAGAAAATAAACACTCAAAGAAAAAATAAATTCATACCACTGAACCGATATGCACATGCGTAGCCCAGCACATGAGCACCACGCTGTAGGCATCTGGCCGATAGCTTCCAAAGGCGAGCTCAACTGAACGAGCCCGCGCGCGCCCACGACATGCGCGAGCATGTCTGCTGACGCTGGATGCGACTGCATTCAGCCCAGCGCTTCCAATGAGCTCTTCGGGCGAACTCAACCCTATCTATTGGTGACAATACGAATTACGTGCTCAATTTGGAGAGGTTAGATCGGAGGCGCACACTTTAAACCGTTTTTATTTGGAATGCATGTAAATGGTTATAAATTACCAGACAAGTGGTATTTAAACGTAAGATATCCTTGGAAGTGATAAGGGAAGCAACACTTCTCTTGTTTCCATGGAATAAACACCCCCGCTATATCGCGAGTACACTTCTTAACTTCGCAGGAGCGAAAAGCCACCTTCCCTCTTCGGCGATTCTCCCGGCGCGCAAGATCCGCAGCGGGAAAGTTGAAAAGACAGAGACCCTATTACGGGTCACTCACAAAAATCTTATTGTGCAATGGCGTGGTGTTTCTTCCAGAACGGCTGGGCGCCGGCAGAGAATGTGGCACAACGGGTGGCAGGTGAGGGCGGGCACGCCTGTCGCTCGGTCGCAGCCGCCCGTGGTGGTGTGGCGTGAGGGGCGTGGGGGCGCGGCACAGCCGTCCGTGGCGGAGCGGCCGTCCCTCTCTCGTCACAGGGTGACGACGCACGAGCTCAGGATCCACTTGGCGTCGCCTTAACGTGCCGAATCAGGCGGGGCCGCATTCGAAGTACCGAAGAACATAAACTGCAGGTTCATGCTAGTGCGAGTCAGTACTGAAATTCATCGCGAGTTCCAGCTAGTACGCAAGACATTACAAGAGCTTCTTTGAGATGTAAATTTGCAAGTGCCAAGCCAAGTTCAAGGCGCATGCTCGAGATGTAAAAACCAAGTCAGAGCTTGAGACAGAAACCAAGTACCTCTTCGAAGTCAGAAACCGTCCGCGTCTTCGAAAGTCAGAATCGGAATGAATTTGGAGCTTCACACGCGACAGAACGAAAGCTTCATTCCCTTCCTCTCATCCGAAAGCCTCACCCTGATTGCTTAAAATCAGCTATTGGGAGCAGTGGCGGGGCGAACTCCGAATCACTAATGGCGCGTTTGCTCGAGTGACAAAAAGAAATTTCCATTGCATTTTCAGTGCGACGGCTTTACGTGGCCCATACGCGGGGGCGGAGAGAGATATGCCTCTGTCCTCTGGTTAGTGGAATTCGACGCAGCTGTGATCTAACAGCGCACGAGATGATCGTAAAAATGGAATATTTTCAAAGACCCGTTTGGCCGACGCGCAAGTGCGCGTTACGAATCGCTGGAATGCAATTTTATGGGGAGGGGGCAGGGGGTTGAACGGTCTCCCCTTCGCACGTGTTTATGAAAAGTGGCGGTGTCTTTCTGTAGTACCGTGCCCGCGCCCATTTTAAGAATTCTCTATGGCCTCGACCATCGCGCGGCATCCGAGTCCTACTCTACCCGCGAATGCTGCGTCGTGGCGTATTTTGACTCTTCCCTTGCTTTAATTGAAGGAAACTGATCTTTTTTCGACCGCTTGAACCGGGCCAAGCTTTTGGGCGCTGCGCCTCGGCACGATGTGGGTACGCAATGACATGCGTCCCGGGGATGTCACGCAAATAACACACCGTCTCTTCCAGCGGCTCCCTAAGTCGTAACCATCCGCCCGTGGTATGACAGGACGGCCGGGCGGCGTGGGGGGTAGGCCGATCCGGTCAGGAACAGCGTTAAATGGCCCCGCGCGCCAAGTGAGTTAATTATTAAGGTCGGGATGAGTTTGATCAGGCCCTTTCACGGAGAGTGTGACTTTTCAATAAACAAGGAAAAAGTACCATACCGCGTGTTCTTACAAAACATACGAGTAAAGGCTCCCACAGACTGGTGCGGGAGATCCGCAGCGGGTTCGGCGCGGAAAGTTCCGCGCTAGACGCGGCGGCGGAATCCGCGGGAGCGTTCATACCGGAGCGTCAAAATATTCGACATCTGCCGAGTCTTTGCCCTAGTTTCCACAGCGAAACTCGAGCGGTGCGAAAGGGAGCAAAGACTTCCGAAGCCGTGCGGCAGCGGAAAAAACGTCGCGGAGTAAACTCTGCCAACCCGCTGCCGCGCGGGTCTGAATGCGTTCATACAAGACAAAAGGTAACGCGAAACTTCCTGTGCGGGCATTCCGCGTAGGCTGCGGATCTTCCGTGCCGGTCTGTGGGAGTCTCAACCTTATATTTCTATCCACTGCATGAATAGAAGCGAGCGACCGCTGCCACTCGAGTTTCGTGGAAGTCAGCCCGCGTTCGGAAGTCTTCGCTACCCTGGATCGAGCTCCCCTTGCTTTTGTTTATCGGATGAAAACTGTCACCAAACGTTGACTCATATTTGACGCTCCGGTGTGAACGGACTAGCGAATTCCGCCGCCGCCTCTAGCGCCTGGGTGTGGGAACCTTGCACTGTAGAATACATTATAATTCAACCAATCCCGATGTTTATCGCCCAAGAAGTATCGATTTTGGAATCCGCTCTAACCATGGTGGAAATACAACTGTACATTTTTGTTATCGTTTGCAATTGTTTTATGTCCACAATAGCTTGTGTGTATCAATATATTAAAATGAATCGTTTTGGTAATGTTCCAAACTCTGAAATTATATCTATTAAAGATTCAGTGCTGTAAAACAGCAGAAGAAACCGAGAAAGTGTGTGGAAGCAAAATCATGAATTTTGTGATGAAAATACAAAGTGACAGCACAAACTACAAATGAAGAAATTACAAACATTTGTAAAGATTAGGCAGTTAATACACAAGATTAGATGGCAAAGAGAACAAAGATTAAGCTATCAAAACTGTGGTATATTGCAAGAAAAATTATACACAAAAAATACTTAAATATGTTAAAACAGATGTTGCATCAATTTGAAATCTAAGAGGCTAATTCAGCTTATATGCCATTCATTTCAAATGTGTCCAGGAATCCCAAGACATGGAAAACTTAACTTCCTACAACTATAATAATTATGTTTTTATAAATGCTCTTGTTTGTAGTTTTGTTATAATTGTTTTCTTAAAGTTTCAAATTGAAACAGTTGAAATTTCTGCATTAAATCGTTTTTCACATTTTTCTTGGATATGTTTTTCCAGGTAGCGGTAACTCTGATAACCTCAGAGTTTCTAATGGTGGATATTAGTAAATAAACATAGTTTGCTGTCACTGTAGTAGTGGAGAGAGTTTTTCACATGGTTTATTTATTTCATATTTCTGATGTTAAATAAATAAATGAAATGTTTCCATATTCTTGATACATTTATGAAAGCAAAAGAAAATTAGAAATTACCTGAATTCAACCTAGAAAATCAATTAAACTTCTTCTGAACCACGTTAGCATGTTTGGCTATATCCTGACGTCTTTTTCAATGCTTCTTTTGTTAGTTGGAAACTCTGATTAAAATATGTATACAACGGTTACTACGAAAGTTTTGAGATACACAAATACGGAAATTATAATTTTTGCAAAATCCACCCTCCTCTAAAAAACTAGAGCTATTTCTTTAAGAAAATCTTAGTAGCAGACCTGTTCTAGAAAGTTGAGGGAGGGAAGTGTGATAATAATAAAAAAAAAAAATAATAATAATAATAATAATAATAATAATAATAAAAATAAAAATAATAATAGTAATAATAATAATAAAAATAATAATAGTAATAGTAATAATAATAATAATAATAACAACAACAACAAATTTTAAAGAAAGACCAAACACTATTCTCTTTTCTTGACACCAATTCAATAACTCCATCACAGAAATTGCTATAAAAAAAATACTTAAGGGTTGAAAATATACAAACTAAATGTAATGTTTATAAATGACCTAAATTTTAACATGTATCTCAAAAATTGCATATTTTTGAGGTTATAAAAATGTTGCAAAGTTTCCACTAAAAAACTAATAAAACTGTGACCGATTTCCAACACTTTCACAAATTTCATGATTTCTGTAATAACTATTGATGGAATTTGGTACAAGATTATTTTAACTTTTACATATCATGATTAATTCAAAACACCCAAAGTTTAAGATATGTCTTGTTAAAATTTAGTCATCAGTGTGTTATAATTGATCATTTAAAAAGACTGCAGTAAGTAAAATGTTTTATTACAGTTTATTGAAATAATATAAGAGTATCAGAAATATCAAGAAATTCAACATTCTATAAATCCATCAAAATGTAATTTTTTTTTTTACAAAATTTAACAAACAAAAAAAACTTTAAAAAACTTTTCTTGCTTGTCCTGAACCTTGAATATGTATATCTCTATGTATGATATAGTTAATTCCCAATATATACATCAGTAAATCATTAATTTTAGAATTAAAAATCACGCTGACAACTATGGCCTAAAATCTTTCACAAAAAGTTTTCAATTATCAAACAAAAATTTAGAAAATGGAAATAATTTCAATGCCACAAACAAGCCACAAATATTGGCAGATGTCACCACCCAAAGACATATTCCATTGCTTTAGTAACCATACTTGTACTCTTCTGTGGTGTGTTACTCTGATTCAAAACCTGTAACATAAGAATACAGACACTTATTACGAAAGGTGTTTGATCAACAGAAGTAGTCGAATTTGCAGTGTAATGAGAAGTAAATGCCAATTAAACAATTATTAAGTACTTATATTACAAATAATATTATGAAACAATCTGTTAAGTAAATATTTTAAAGCATGTTGGAGCTTCATGCCATGGCAAATGAAAGAAAATTTTAATTTATATACTATTATTGTAACAACTATCAAAATTATGTTAAGTTTATTCTAGAATATCTAAAAATCATATACACCCAATGTCACAATAGTCATTCACATGAAATTTGTTATTCAACTGCAAACATACGTGTTGAAACACAGGTTACCAATATCGTGAATGCTTTATTGGTAGTTAGGGGTTTAAATGCAGGGGAAATTTTGGGAGTATTGGAATATGATTGGGTCACTTCCATAGTCTCTATTCATGTATTTCTTGCTCGTCCTGACCCTATTGAGGAAACAGATGATATTGGCATCGAAGATTTGGGGGGGGACATATAATAATTAATCAGGGAGACAGCTTTCAGTAAACACTGAAGTGCGTTTGGAAGATGGAGGGGAAGGGATTGTAATTACAGAGAGAAACTATGTGAATTCAAAGTTACTAGAGAGAGGAAATGCTAAAGAATCTGAAAAGTCAAAAAGAAATCTCAAAATTGGGAGAAACACTATAAGTCATCAGAAAAGAAACTTAAAAAAGTTTTGGAAAAAGACACTATCCTCACCCTTTAAGTCTAACTGAAATATTTAGATTTTTTTGACAGATGAGCTTCTGGAACTCATTGTAAAAATTAGTCTCATTTACACTACACAAAAAAAGGCAACACAATTTTTCACTTAATGCAGAAAAATTCAAAGTTTTCCTGGGTATACTGCTTGTAAAGGGTTATATTACTGTACCTAGGCAAAGTATGTATTAGGAAAAAAGGCCCGAAACCAGAAATGATACAATTTCAAATTCAATGAGAGGAAATCGTTTTGATGAGAATATGTATTTTCTTAATTTGAACAACAACAGCAATCTTTATAAAAATGTCAAGATTTCAAATCTTAGACCTTTTGTAAACTCCATGAAGAATAGTTTTTTAGAGTACAAAGTGTAGGAAAGAGTAGTGATGAAGCTATATGATTCCCTACTCTAGACGCAGTGGTATGAACCGCAGTTTTCGCAACACTGCAGATCTAGACTGGTAACAATCCCCCCACCAAAAAAATGTCCTATCTTCTAGTATATAAGTCAATCTAGCAATGTAAAGCAAATAGGAAGAAAAAAGTTCTGGAATCAAAATGCTTCAAAATTATTTTTGCAATTAAGACTCAATCTGTAGTTGCTAACCACAATACTGAAGAGGTTAACAGAAAACAAAATTGAAATTCTAAAGAATGCCCTAAAATGTACGTAATAAATGGCATGAAATGTATCCTACCAAGTAAATTAACTTGGGCATCTTTCTGAAAACTAAGTTAATTTGCTCTCAAATTCTTTTATGCATGAATATTTCCTTGCTGTCTGCAAGATTATGTAATAAAATTCTATGTAAATTTCAAATCTTGGACTTGTTTCTTATTTACATAAAGAAATTGTTTTATGAAATAATTTTTTAACAAAAAGTGAATTTTTAACCAACAGACTACAATATTTAAACTATGTACAAGACATTAAAATGCGAATAAAACCCAAAATTCCTAAAAAAAGAAACAAAGTGAAAAGAGGACACAATGTAAAAAGCAATATTTATGATCAACATAAAACATTCCCACAACAATTTTGAAAGCAATTTACAGGTCTCTTCAGGAGTGTGTAGTTTATAATAAAACATTATTACTTCTTGTGCACAGAGTCAACATGCATGTGAAAAAACAAAAAGCATTTTAAGATAATTTTTTTCTTACCTCATTCTCAGATTGTCCAGGGCGATACGTTTGACTCAAAGGTCTTGCATTACCAATGCGAACAGGAGTTCCCAAATATGACAAATTTGATGAATTACTTTGCGACAGCACATTTGGGTGGAAAACAGGTGATGACAGAACACTTGCATTTCTTGATGTAAAACTTCCTTCCATTACATTTTCCTTAACCTGAGAATCTTGTAAAATATCCTGCAGCAGAGTGTTGGAAATAATATTTGAAATGCCCAATAAAATACTATTTTAATACTGAAATGGAAAGTTACAAGTGTTATTACAATAAAATATAATTAGGAGCCATCCATAAATTAAGCAACGCAAATTTGGAGTATTTTGAATACCCGCCCCCTGAAACGCAGGTTTGAAATAATTATGTAATGTTTGCGACAACCTCCCCCTAAAAAGCAAGAACAAAAATAAACTATAACACAGCAATAACAATGTGTGTTCATTTTGTGTGGTATTTTAATTTTAAGACAATTATATTCACAATTTTGTTGGTGTTTCCCATGGCACCTAACACTAAGATTTGGAGCAAGTTGTGAGTGAAGGAAGGATGGGTATGAAAGAAATTTTTTATCACAAGCGGTGCAAAAGTCATCGAGGATGACACAGAAATTATATACTGTGCTAATTTAAAGTTTAGAATATACTACATATTAATTTTCAATATTTTCTTCATAATCTTACGGGTTCAATAAAAAATTGATGAAAAATATTTCCATTTATTGTAACAATTTACATCTAAAATTTTTAATACATTTATTTTTAAAACAAATTAATTAGTTAATATTTTAATGTTATGGTATAAGACAAAAATAAAAAAGAAACAGGAATTATTTCAGCAATTGTTGAAAAATATAAAGAAAGTAATTATCAGTGTTACGTAATAATAAACTAATTCCCCCTACCCCTATGTAACACAGCTTAATACTACCTAAAAACACTGCCCCCCTCTTTAGCGTTACGTAACTTATGGATGACCCCTTAGTAGTCTTTTTGTAAACTGTCTTCTTTAACATTAATTCATGTATCACGGACAATAACGTCAAGGGTATGGTGCATGAACCTAATGAGTATTGGTATTCTGGGGAATTTTCTGCAGACCCAGAATATCCTCAAATAACCAAAAACAGCTTCAAACATGGTCCAAATAAAAATACACAAAGATGAAAAAACATGCGTAATTTGTTATAAATGCAAAGATATGCCAAATAGAAATAGCCTCAACTGTTTTAAAGCAAGCAAAATTTGCTGACACAGGCTTCTTAGTTCACAACAGCATTTATAATACTAGTTACTGTAAACACAGTAACTGGGTAACTCACAAGATAACATTATAAAAACTGGTTCAAAACTTGAAATACGCAATAATTAAATCTCTTTGGAACTATACATTTTTTCTATAATAAGTAGAATATATATTAGCTTAAAATTGTTTCTACAATAATATAACATACACACAATAAAACTGATAATAAATTACTGAAGTCAGGTTTTGTTTCTGTGAAATATTCAATGCAAGAACCTGATAACCAACACTTTTTCTTTACTAATAGTAATCTAGTGACCTGGATCTACAGAAAACTATTTAAATGATTTTCTTAACTTGTGTGTTCATTTTTCAATATTGTTACGCATCCTCCCCATTTTTGGAACAAAACGTCCCCCATAGTTCAGCATAAAAATCAGGTTTTCATCAGGAATACATTGGCATACTTTTCTCATATCATTCAATATGTCATTGCAAAGGGAAACCTGTGTTAATATAAAGATGGAAGTGAAAGGTTGTTTCTGTATTCTCAACTTATAGAAAAATGGCTTTCATTTCAGTTTTATTGGTATTTCTCAAGCAATATTATCTTGTCAATTTCAAAGTGATCTGAATCGTACCTTCTATAACTGAAAATACAGGTCACTTTCATCCCCATATGATCAATCGTGATTGAAGGTTAATTAATTTTAGATTCTTCATTTATAATGGTCTCGTGTGCCTTCTTAAAATGCAATTTTAAATGCTCCAAAATGAAAATTAACAATCAGAGCTGCAACCCAATATGGAGGATTGGATATAGTAGATATACAGTGCGTCTAATCATGAACTCTGAGATCAAATAGGCTTTTCCAGAGTAATTGATGGCTCTTTCAAGAATGGTTCTGCTTGCTCCCCTCATTAAGTAGAATGGATCGTTTCCTCAGGTATAACACAGAAACATCACATTTTTCTGTCGATGCTGATTATCAATAGTTCCTTTTCCCCTGCCATAGTTGACCAGAAGAGAGATATGCTGAAGATGACTAATTTACAAGACTTCTTATATGATATGTGAAATATTGAAGAACAAGAAAGTGCCACAACATGGAGTAATCAGTTGTGGTGTCTGGCCAACAAAATTTTCTCATATGTTGCCCTCTATATGATGTTCATTAATTAAGTTATTGGAGTAGTGAAAAGAAATCTTCATGCAGTAATGATGCATCAGTAAATCTATTTTGAGAAATTTCAAACATCTGTGGTATAGTGATTTGTATGTGTTGACTCCTTGGTTCAAGCAGTTTTTCTTTCTGTAATCATAAAATAAACACTGACTACTGCAATAAATACACAAGTTTATTACAAAATAGGAGAGTTCTGTTGTTGCCAGAAGTGTGTTGAATTAGGCAGAGAGCATCAACCACCTCATGTTCGAGCCTTGTGGCCTCAGCAGGAGCCAGCATACATACAGTTCCTGCAGAATTGAGAGCCAATTGTCCTAGACCTTAAAGTGACACAACCATATGATTCTTGAGTTGTCAATGAAAATAGGTATTCCACCTTAGAGCTAGATGGCAAAATAATTCCAAAACTGCAGCAACTCATTTCCAACCAAAATAAATTACCAGCTTCACACACGATACCCTGGATTTCTAAGAATTAAATAATTGTCACAAGTTGTCTTGCTAACATGCAATACAACATCAAGTTAACAATCATAACCACACTAATTGTTAGCATTAACTTAACCCTAGGCTGCATTGACCCGGAAACTTTCATTAATGGGCCTATGCGATCCTGCGAGATATGCTCTTGAAAATGCACATCACAATAGTTAATCCTTAATTACTTCATTCCTTAATAAATTCAATAAAAGTCAACTTGTTATGTTACAAAAATGTTTAGATAACTATTAAGAAGCTCAATGAGCTCTATTATTTAGACACTAGTGAGAATGTGGGACATATTGATGCTTTCCATCACTTAGCTTTATTACTCAACAATTACCCAGATATTTAAAAAGTGCATGACATGATTTAAAGATCTACAATTAAATAAAGTTTTAAAAAAACAAAAACAGAGAGTTATGACCTATCTCAAAATTTTAAGCAGCAAAGGATCTGTGCCGAAAATTTAAAGTGTGGGATGTAGCTATACAATAAACAAATTCATTAATGGATGAAATTTATGTTTTAAACAATTTTAACATTTTAAAGTTTTAGAATAGTTGTATTAGCAAATGAAGGTAATTTATTGTATTTATTTTTAGCGACACCAGAAAATAGAAAAAAGATGATCCCAAAACATTGTGTTAGAATTTTTTTTTATTAATAAATGAGATATAAACTGATATCAGTGTTGTTCATTTTATATACAATATATGTACACCTATTACAACCAAATATAGGATGTAACATTAAATAATATTTAGAAATATGTTGAACTGTGTGTTTGCAATGAATAGTTCCACAATTTGTGAACATCCTCATTTCATTAGTCTTTAAGAATATGTAAAGAATAATAAATCATATTTTGGGGGTTTCCGATTTCCCTTATAGTGCATATATAGAACTTTTCGAACTTTAGTACAGTTCTTCCATTTGCGTGATGTGATTCAAGGGATTAGCTAGTATTTAATTATATTATAGAAAAGTAAGAGTATAGTACATAGTGTAGTTATATACATAAAGTGAACTTTGGATACAAATTGAAACAAATTAAAAATAAAACACTAACCTGTTCCTGACATGGTGCCACACCCAACATGATAGACCCAGAAAATATTTTTCCATTGTAACTTAGAGCTTTATGAGCTTCGTGAGGGGTCTGAAACCTCAGGTGCATCCAGTTCCCTTTGGGAGGAACACGTTTGTCTACAATAAGTCCACAATTAGCAAATTGAGAAGCAATGAATGCTGTTGCTGACGGAGGGAAACCAAACACTGTCACCCAAGTGTCACTCTGCGACAACAGAGGCTTCTCTTGGGTCACTTGGCCACTAATTATACTGCTATTCCTATTCAAAGGAAAACATATTAATTTATATTACAAAATGCAAGGGCTCACTATGGGTATGGGTGAAGAAAGACTAGAACTAACTTGAATTTTGTTGAACGTTTTTATTTTATTTTACACCGTGAAAATAATTCTGAAGACAAAATGGAAAAAACAGATAACGCCCTATGACAAAATATGCATGGCAAAATGTAAATGTAAAACTAGATATGAGCTCAGCTATCTGGGGTATGTCATGTCCAGGGATGGAGTTGTAGGATTTCATGCAAGTCGAATTAGCCATTTTATCCAATCATGTTAGTATCAAATTGAACAATTACTGCAATATATATATANNNNATATATACATATATATACATATAACAACTTTAAATTACTAATGCTTTTTAATATATTAATGAGAGTCAATTGAATTTATGATTTCATAAATTAGAATTATCTAATAAGCAGCAATGAAATCAGCAAAGATACCAAGTTCAAGCCACTGTAAAATTCTGAACTCAAAGGAGCCAGTCTGATTATGGATCAAAACTAATTTTCACAATTTTTAGGATTGAACATGCTGCTCAGAAACGATTGAAACTGATGTGAATTAAAATAAGAACTTAAAGAAGTGAGGAATAAAATACTAGTTAAAACATGAGAATCTGGGCCTTAGTCATGTCCTATCATTTAACCAACATATCGTGTAAGTGACCTACAAAAATGTTGCTTAAAAAGCTTAACGAAGAAAATTTGTCACTAAAAACTAAGACACGACTTTCTGAGTCAGCCAAAAACGCATGAACTTCCTCCCTAAAAATTTTTGTCAACAAAAATATTGATATACATTCACAGGTGTGCAGTCTAAAACAAGTGGGGAGCCAACTACATTTCTGACTCCTTTTTCCATTAAACATTTCTATTTACTTATGAGATATTTTTATAGTAAATAAATAAAACATACAAGGCAAAAGAAATTATAACATTATTGATAGAATTAACAGATTTTATGTTGAACCATTTATTGGGTTGCCAAATGGCTTGGAGGCTTCCCAACCACATTCACATGGGATTACCCAAATTGTCAGATTTAAAAAAGGAAAATCAGTAATTGAACGTATGTACAGATAAAAAAAAAAGGTTTTATTATTTAAGACTATCCTATCTTTAGAACACCACAGCCCCCTCCCCCCCTCCTTTTGCGCACACCTATACATTTACACATCTATCTAAACATAGCATTACCTCATTTTTTAAACAATCATTTACAAGCTGTAAGCTTTTAACTTACATGTCATAATAACTTCTTTCTGAACTTCTAGCAGACTTAGGAGAGGCAAATGATTCATCCAGAGTGTCAAATAAGCACTTTATAGGAGGCCCACTACTTTTCTCCATTGACATAGAGGACCTGAAGAAAATATCCACATATATAAGTCAGTAAAAAGGTAATTATTACAGAATGAAAAGCAGCCAAAATCAAATCAACTACTACAGATATGAATAGCAATATGTATAGTATTTAAACTGCTGTTATACAGAGAACGAAAGTGCCAATTTCAAAAGTCATATTTCTGTAATTCGATACTTTAATTTTGTAAGTTATGGCTGAAAGGTATTCTGGAACTCTGCCCAACGTAAAACATGTTTTTGTAATACTGCCCATTCATATATCTGCACAACGCAACCCCATAGAGAAATGAAATAATCTTAAGGGTCGCCGGCATTTCATGTTTAACAACCGATGGTTGTTAAGGAACCAAATGCTATTCTAACTATTTTTTAAAGTTCAAAGATTTGTTTTTGTACAATTCAGTGTAACTTGCACTCTAATGCTCATGGTATCTATATAGTCAATGACACAAGTTCACCTCATCTTGAAATGGGACAAGGAGACAAATGGAACAAAATGGGAAAGGGGGACCAAATGGGACAAATAAAAAAATATGACAAGGGGGAAAAATGGGACAATGTGACAAATGGAACATGGGGACAAAAAGAGACAGGGTGATGTAACAAGACAAGGGAATGGCCTAAAATTTCAATAACTTTTTTAAGTAACCATTTGCTTCCAGTAAAAGTTTTCTAGTATGTTCTTACAATAAAATCTTGGTCTTCTTGTAAATGTCGGGTCTGAAGCAAGAAATGTATAATTTGAAATTTAAGATGATGTACTCCTACGTAATAAACACAAAGGTGTTTCTTATAAGAAGATCTTACAAGAAGATTGTATTAGAAAAGTATCGAACGACACACGGCTGATATCACAAATAACAGACTTAGTTGTTTATAAACCTCGGCTGTCGCCTTCTACAAACTTGAACTGCGTCTTTTATTTGGTGTTTATCAGCCTGATGATGTTAACTATTACAGAACGAGGAACAAACCATAATGAACAATATACTATTTACCCGAATATAATACATAATACGTATTTACCAGAGGGTATTTTTTTTTTCTTTCTTCGAAATATCTCAGTCGAAAAATGCGGGGTCATATTCGCAGATTAAGCCTAGTCGGTTTTGATTTCAGTTTTTACATTGCCATTCCATGTCACGAAACTCTTAAATGCTAACGTAACAATAAACTGCGAAGACGAAAAAAATAGCGCGTAACAAGACTTATATCCGCGTTCGTATTCTCGGCATCACGCAATTCAGACCGATATTTTTGAATTAGCCGGTAAAGAGAATCTCTAACCGAATGGCATTGTATTAAATGAAACTTAGTAAAGTGCAAATGAGAGCCGAGTTACAAGATGCGGGTTCAAAGAAGCCGCGCGGAATTTCGTTTCGACGCCCAGCGAATACGAATCTGCGTTTTGAACAGAAACGGAGGCCATCAACTAGTGCTTGCGGATAGAAAATCTGGAGACAGAAGGGAATGTTCTTAGATAGCGTCTGATGAGACTATGAACAAAATTTAGTCCGCAAAACTTTCAAGAGGGGCCTAAACAGTCAGAAAGTTGTCACAGCATGGAAGTAGACCAAAAAGAAATATACTGATACATATGAAGATGATGAGGGTAATGACAAAAACCATAATTAAGATATTAAGAGACAAGAAAATAGTTCAGCAATTACTATTAACATTCTCATCAACTAGGCAACTTTCTAGTCAATAAGGTAATTTATGATTTTATCTTGACAACATCGTAAGAATTAGTTCAAAATTTTAATAATTCTTAGGAGGCTTAAAAAGGGGTTGACAGAAGGGGTAACTACGGTCATTTGATATTGGTGACCCTTTCTTCTACAGAAAACTAGTGATGGTACAGAATGGCACAGACTTTCTCATACTACATAGCTGGATTCCTTATCTCTTTAGTTTGGGCAATCTTTTTCATATTGCCCCACCCTCTTCCGAACACCTAAATGACTTGTTTTGTTTTTTCCCCTCATGTTTTCTCAATTTCTCCCTTGATCTCTAATAGTAAAATTGAAATATGACTTTAAAAATAATATAGAATGGTAAAACCTAGTCCTACATATAAATTCTCTTCAGAAAAATTTGAGGCAGTTCTTCAGAAAATGCGCAATATCACTTATTTTCATCCAAAACATACAAGTTTTCGAGAAACTTCATAGGAAATTATTTGAGGAAATTGTACTCACAAATGTGATACATATAAGAAATGTTGGTAATGTAAATAATGACGTTGTAAGAGATACATCAAATTATATTTGCGTAATTATAGAAAAAACCAAAGAAGTCATCCAAGACGCTTTTATGTCCGGTTATTCACTTCTTATTATTCACAAATTAAAAACAAAAACGTGTTTTTTTAAAAGCATTGAGAAACAAAAGAAAGAAAGAGTTAAATCCCAACTTGGTTAAGTCTAGCAATAATAATAATAATAATAATAATAATAATAATAATAATAATAATAATATAATATTATAATAATAATAAATGGAAGGAAGACGAGACAAAGAGCAGATTACCTCAAACTTCTCCTCTCTGGTTCCACAGAGCCATGGATAAGTTTTGGGGGAGAAACAGTAGGAGTATTTCCAAAGGATACATGTTTCAATTGTTTAGTAGGGCTAGAAGGTTTTACTCTCGATATAGCCTGAAAATATGCAAATATTTTTAATTTTATCACAGTATTAGTGCTAGTCAAAGATAAAATTAATTTTACTGAGCTAATTGTAAATTCTTATAAACTTGGTTATCTGCTTAAGAAAATAATTGGTCAAATGAAATATTGTCTTATTTCGAAGAAATTATTACATTTATAAAACATTTCATTTTAATCTGCAGTGAGAGGCATCATTTTGCTGAACAATGTAAGAAAATCCTAAATCGGATACTTACACTAGGCATTGACTCTCCCATTAGATATGCAGGCAAAAATGGAGATGACACACCAGAACTAGGTGGACTTCCAGCAGGTGATCCCAACGACATTGGTTCCATTGTCACTTTAATATTTCTATACCAGGTCAACAAAAATATACAGTAGCAGAACAAACAAATTAGAATTACTATAGTCAATTTCGTAACATCAACTTCGGTATAAAAAATAAGCAACGCTCCAATGTGTAACTCCCGTCTTGCAGCAGGGTAAGATTCGAGGGAGGAGAAATTTTAAAACTAATTACAACCTCCAACTCAACGATTTATATAGGTATAACACAAAATATTCACAATCGGATGGGGCAAGTTTGAAAATGAAACTACCGATTCACCGTCTTTCTATCAACTCTTTCATGCGCTAGGTGCCCTCGAATCGTCGTTGATGCTGAAAGAATCGTTTAACACTAATAGGAAATCACATCAATTCAACAGTCAGCTCCTCAATATCATGATTGTCAGCAATACCAGCAAAACAACGCATGTAACTGAAAGTTGACAGAAAGAAACATGGCGCGTACTTGTTAACGGCCCCGATGTGAACACGCTTGTCGTATTTCAGTTGTTCAGAGGAAACAGCTGAGAGCGAAGACCGAATCAGAGTATGTGACTAAGAGTTGAGTACGAGACCGAATAGCCGCAAAACCATGGAGAAATATTGAACAGGAGGGGAAACTAATGTGGTACTATCTACTAAATCTTATCTTATCTCTACTTATCTACTAGTACAATAAGTTACAAAAGTTAAATAGATAACACTGCACACTGTCGCCAGAATAAGTATTTTTTGAGCCAAAATGCAAATTTTGAAATTACTCGGGCAACTTTTCTTCAACGATGACCTTGCTCCCCCCCCCCTTCTGGCACAATAAACTGTTGAAGGCAAAAGCTCGCAGCGAGCACTCATGACAATATTCCAAACACATCTCCGCTGGCGCGAAGTAGAAACAATTTTCTTTTGAAGACGAGAACTTCTATCAGTTATTTTCTCCAAAAATCTAAAGAAATGACCGAAGCAGGTACGGATCTATCACAGGAGACACCTCAAACACCTGATAAAGTTAGAACGCAAATTATTGAGAACGTTACGAAGGCGTGACTGATTCTCCAGAGATTGGCATTACTTCATAAAATCTAGTGGCTGTTTACGTAACTAATACACATACTACCCGCATTTCTTCAATCCATCGTTCAAGAAAAGTTGCGCGAGTAATACCTCTTTTATCCGATCTCAGAGCCTGCCGTTATTCACACACCTCTATCTATTGAATTATGAAATCAAACAGCTTTCGTCATAATTTACGTGTAAGGTAAATGCAATCTATTAGCATATTTGCATTTTGTGATAATCCATATCGAACAGTTTAGAAAATAATAATTTTATCAGACCTAACATTGACCCATGTACCACAAAACAAATACATTTGAAATTTGTACGGATACAATAGTACTAACATACTTTTTAACATTTTATTAAACCAGATAAGATGGGTTTTTTAATTTATAATTATTGAATTACGTTGTTATAAAATTACGTTTAAATTTTGGCGGCACCACCACTAGAAATTATTGCAAATATCCATGAATTCCTTCCACAATATTGTAGACAGAGGAAGAGATTCTAATTATTTATTCATCCACACACACAGCAACATGTCATTTGGACCTTCTTTAACTTTGAGGGGACCTTATCCTCTTCCAAATCTACAGTTTACATAGGAAAAGATGCATATCCTAATACGAATATAATCTGTTGGTTTACAACGCATGCTATTTTTTCTAATTCGTCACATTTTCATTCAGATCACACAATTGAATGGGAACATGCAAGATTTGTAGGCTTTTATTCACTAAGAATTTCAAATGAGTACACTTTTTGTGGAAAGTTAGTGACAATTTTTGTTTAAAAGTAACCTTTATTAAGCTTAGAATACAACACTTGTTTTGCATATTTATTTACGAATCAGTAATATTCCTCAAAACTCTTACTCAAGGGTATTTTCATGCAATTCAGTTCTTTCTTCTCTGACCTCCACCTGACCGGATACTTCAAGTTGCAGAACCGGAGCCACTTTGGCACCAGTAATGAAAACATATTTGAAAACTCTAATGCAGAAACAATACACCCAAATTTGTCATGCCTTTTGGTATATTACGGATGTTAGGCTTTTGCGCATTACTCTTATAAAACAATGGCTTGTAAGAATCTTAAGTTGTCTGAAACGTTCGAAATAACACCATACTAGATGGAAATGAATCAGGTTACGAACTAAACCCAATACACTTGATAACAATAAACTAATTTGTTGTTTTATTTGGGACGTATGGCTGGCAAATGCATTTTTTATGAATTTGATAAAACATTCAAATGCAAAAGGCAGCAATTTATTTCCCAATAACCAACTGTAATCCCCTTTTCAGAATTTTCTTTACAAAAACACCAACATTCACGTTGCTCTAACAGGTAAATGGCAACTTGGAGAAAAAATCTCTCGAGACATAAAATGTATGCAATTTTACATTCTTTTATTTACAAAAGGTGAATGGCATGCGGGTTATTTTGAAAAAAAAAAAAACTAAAAAGTGTCGGATTTTTAACATTTTTTTGCGAAAAAACGTATTTTTGTGAAAAATGTTTGTTTGCAAACCTCGCATTCATGTTCAATTACTCCAAAAACATATAGGACCCAACTATCCAAATTACACCCTTCCCCTATTTTCTACCATTTGACTGGACTATATTATTCCACAATATTTTAGAGCTTGTATGGTATACACGTCATGATTTTTATATTTCGCACGAATTTCCATATTTCTGCGCGCATATCTCCTATTTGTAATAAAAATTTGACGAGAATAATTATTTTTGTTCCAATCCCAACTTTTTTTCATAAAGAAAATGTTCCAATTGAATCTAGGGCAGCTAGTTCTACCATGTTTATAAAAAGTTTATAAGACCAACGTGTTCTTCTTGCACAAGAATATTCTGAAAGTACATTGTTAATACCTCCTGTTTTATCTTGGGCAGCTGATTCTGCCCAGCCGGCCTGATTTCAAGAAGACCAATTACAATACTTCAAGCGGGTGAGCATATGGATACTGGTAGTTCAGAAAATATCAGATTTAAAAAAATGAAAAGCAATACTAAGATGAATGTTTATAGTTAACTTAAAATTAGATATTTTAGATTAGGCTGATAGAATGTCCAGAATGACGTCACAACATTTGGCGGGAAAGCGTTGGGTGACAACCTCTGCTGTGTGCGTAACCGATTCCAAGAGAATTACAAAGTTTTTGACTGTGTTATGCGGTTGCCGAAGTGCGTCTGTTTTATCACATTTGTTATTTACAATTATATTTGATTTCTTTCGGTTTATTTAGGATACAAATTACATCGACAAATTGGATTTAAAAAAGCCCTATTTTACCAACACACATCGCAACTTTTTATTTTTGAAAACTATTCGAAAATATCATGATCTGAGCGATAATGCTAATGAGCTCCCTTACAATAAAATGAAGTGTGTGAAACATTTGGTTCCACGTCCCTATGCTATTGACGTAGAAGTGACTCCTTCCGTATATTTTTTAACTGTCGACTTTCATTATCATCAGCAGCATGGGTTAGGCTGATCTAGCCTGTTCCGGCAAAATTGTCTAGAGAAGACCATCTCTTCTTTGGCCTTCCTATTTCTTTTTTTCCTTTTGGGAGATAGTAATAAGTCTGTTTGGACATTCTCTCATCGTTCATTCTTTGTAAATGGTCTATCTTCTTTGTAAATGTTTTTTTTTCTATATTTATTTATCTTTTCTAGTAAGCCGGTAATTCCCAATTCTTCTCTTATATCCTCATTTCTGATATGGCCCATTAATGTGTATCCTTCTACATACCTCAGAAATCTCATTTCTTCTGCGTTAATTCTCCTGTTTTCTCTAGATGCTGTTACCCATGTTTCGCATCCATACAGGAGTGTAGATATGGCCATTGTTTTTATAAAGCTTGAGTTTGTTTTCTTTTCGTACTTTCTTTCCCAATGTCCGTTTGATAGTGCCGAAGATAGCCTGAAATGTAGATATTTTTTGTTGTCATGAAGATATGTTATGTTGCATTCTAAATTTGGAAGTTGAATACTTATTTTGTGGTGAGGTTGTTTATTACTATTTTTGTTCTATGGGACGTTTACCTCTGAAAGCCATTGTTTTACTTTTTATTCATGTTAACTTCTACAGGTCATCTTCACAATTTGTGACCAAAACTCCATAATCTGCAAACAAGAGCGTCTTAATTTTAATACTATGTCCTATAGAAATGTCATTGTGTAAACAATTCTTCCATTCTGAGAGAAGTCGTCTCTCTCTCTCTCTCTCCCTCTCTCTCCCCCCTCTCTCCCCCCCTCTCTCTCTCTCTCTCCTCTCTCTCTCTCTCCTCTCTCTAGCGGGAAGTTTGAAATGTATGATCTTATGAAATGCCTCCAGAGTAGCGATTTATGTTTGAATCGTGGCGCCAAAATTGAACTAATTTGGCGGTCAATTGCCAACACTTGTCTAACCCCTTGATTTATTTAAAATATTATCTTCTCTTTGTATTCGGAAGATTAATATATATGCGAGTTTCACCATACATACTCTTTATTACCTTTATTAGTTTTCCGGTATTCATATCTTTTCCATGCTTGTCCAGAGTGTGTGCCTTATTACTCTATCAAATGAATCCAATGTCGCAATGCTCTTGTGACTAAGTCGCTTGCCTTCAGGGTAGGGAAACTTGGCGGTCAAAACGGGGTAATGATTTTTGCGCCATCTACAACAGTTCCGAACGTGAGCCGAACTAAACGTTGACGTCATGCAATCAAAAGCTGGCAATGTAGGCGGTATTTGTTTTTTGTTACGTGCAGGCTGCAAGCAGATAGGTGCTGCATTTTATCGAATTTTTCAGTTTTGTTAGTATGTAGAATGTCAGTGCATTGGTAAGAAATGTGAATATTGCAATATTTATTGTCATGTCTAAAACTTTGTTTTCAGTATTTTGGCAGATGATAAGAAAAAACTGGTGCTAGACAAGTACATTGCCAATATTTTCAACACTACCAGCAGTGGAGGTATTTATAATTCATTTTGGAATCTTGTTGCATAATTGTAATTGATTATTTAATTGTGAACATTTACACCATGCAAAAATATATTAATTCCGTAAATCCATGTAGTATAACCTAACTGTACATGTCAATTTATTCTGTTCTATTTGTTTAAAATATTGTGTTATATTATTTCGTATGGTATGAACGTTTTGTAATATGTTCATGTAATCCATATTTCATGTTTGCAATACCTCTGGTATTCAAAATGTCTAATTTCAAATAACATAATTCATTATTGTTTGCATTTCTAGAATGGTACACTCTCATTAATTGTATGATAAAATGCAATTAAGTTTATTTGCTTAGCTGTAACGAGTTACGTTTCCATCTGGAGTGATCTTCGAGTTGCAGTATGAACTGGCAAGATACAAATGAATTCGACTTCACTAACATTAGAGATGGAATTGTATCAACATGTTTCACAAGCCCACCCTGTTGTAGTTCTCAAAGAACATTTCAAGAAATCTTATTACAAAGTGTGCCAGTGAAATCTTTTTTTTCCCTTTGAATGCTGCAAGTGCTGCTAGTCTCGATATTATAGACAAATATATTATTTCAGCAATATATATTTCGAATAATAATTCCCTTGTTTAGAAAAACTTTCTAACAAGCACTGGAAATATATTAATAAATAATTCAAAACAATTTGAATGTGAACAATTAAAAACTTTCGTTTTCGAATGTGTAATAAAAAAAAACTGTGTGTAATAAATAATATACCCTAAATATCTAACGTTTATTTTAAAATATAATTAAGTATAATACTTTTTGGATATTTCACATACTTCAGTGCTAAGAAAGGTTAATATTATAGATGATTTTTAATTAAATGTAGCAAATTTGAATTGCTAAATGAAAACATCTGACAATAAAATCCTGTAATAATATTATTGATAATTATAGTAAAAATCTAATCCAATTTTTCTACTTATACCGTCAAATTCTGTCATTCGTAACAATTCAGTATTGTTCTGCCCATGTGTAGGTTTCAATGAGGATAGTTTGTGTGTGGACTTTGTGGAAATATTGTCATGATGTGCAGTAGCCAATCAGGTAGCTATAGAAAATAAAAAAAAGTCTGTATTGCTTGCCTAAACAGAAGAATCTGTGCCAGTTATTTATTTTAAAGTTAAGATTGCCTAAGACTAGGGAGAAACTGGCCAAATTAAAATTGTTATATCTTCCACAAATTTTCATTTCATAATTATTTTTTTTGTAAACAATGCAAATTCCCTCTTTAATCCCAGAACACTAAGCATATTTACCGGTATGTTATTACTAACTTCAAGACAAATCAACTTGCCAAACAAAACTAGTAATTATAAAATTTGTTTCATTTTCCTTGGTTTTGAAACAATTACCCAAAATAACAATGATTGATATTGTATCAAAATTACAATTCCATTTTCAGCTATAAAGTCACCAAAAATATAAGGCTGGTATGATTTCAATCATGATTATAACAAATGATAACTTTTTAAAAATCATTGATTTAAGTTATTTTTTCAAATATTACAAAATTAAGTTATAGAGATAAGACTTAAATCAATTACTAGTTAATACAACGAATATCATATTTCTTTAACTTTTTCACATAATTGAAGAATTTTGAGAAAAAAAATACAATGTTATATACATAAAATGAGCATGCTTATGAAATGAACAATAAACACTTTGTAGTAGTTATTTACTAATGGACTTGGATGATATATTAGTTTTTATCTAGCATTCATTGTCTGTAGATAATAGCAAATTAAGACAATACAACACACCGAGCTTGTTTCAGGAAAAACACGATAAATCTTCAAGCATATTTGTAATTCTAGATTTGGAGTAAAATGTTTGCTAATGCCACAAAGTATAACATCTTAGAGAAGAATAAGCATTAATAAAAATGGAATTTTATTGATACTCACTTAAGAAAAAAATTAATATTGTAAAAACTAATAAAAACGGAATTTAATCTTACTAATTTTAATAATGTTAACCTTTTTCCTTGTATATATTGGTAAAATACCATTTAAGTGGAAGGAACAGGAACAACTATTAAATAGAATTTAATATTTCAAAAACTGTCTAATATTGTTGTAAGTTTTTTGTGAAATAATCGTTTTTAACAGTAAGAGGATTTTTTTTGGATAAAGAATGTCTTTTTTTCTGACCCATGCTAACAGTGTTGCTACAAGCTTATTCCATAACGTGAACACATGAAAGTGATGAAACTATAAGTACTCACATTTAAAGATTTGTGGTTAGGGCAGTATTGCACAAGACCCCTCAAATGTATAGTATCTATGTGAAAAAAACAACTAAAACAAACAATAGGAAATGATCAATTTAAACTTCATTTTTCACTTTTTTCTGCTTTTAAAGTAATAAAGGATAAGTAAATCACTTTAAAATTTGGTTTTAAGTATAAACATCTAATACAATATTTAAAAATATTATATAAATCAAGTTAATCTGAATCATAAGAAAAGCAGATAATACTCATGAATAATCTCTACACGCGCCACAATTAATTCGCCAAACCTTACTTTCAAAATGCGCGCCAAAACGCAACAGCTGCGCTATCTGCACCACGGTCGGGTGAAGTGAGGAAACAAACTTAGTCCCCCGCCTTTTAACATTGAGTGAACCGGCCCTGCTTGCCTTTCACCACTGAGGTTCCGGGTTAGAATCCCCGTAGAACCGCATGTGAAATTTGTTACAACAAAACAAGTGTGAATGCTTCTCAGGGACTAGTCCAACTCCTGTCCAAACGTGTCCTAAACATTAACCCTATGCTTATTCCTTCACAATTCTAGCCGATGGGTTGATGACGCAGGGCGCGTGCGAGACTCCACCTATGCAGGACCTTCCCTTCCTGAAACCATTGTGTTCTTCAAGAACAATATGCTCGACAATTGCTTGGACTCTGTTAAGTTATTATTTTTGCATATACTATGTAGCTAGTATTTAACTAGCTAACGTCTCTATAGTTGGATCAATTATTGTCTCCTTGTTATAGATAGGACTAACCATTCCTTGCTTCCACTCTAATGGTAGATGATGTTTTTACCAGCCCATATTTAAAAGGTTCAAAGGAAGAAATTTTACCAAGGGTACCACGTACTTAAATAGCTCTTAAATTTATTTCATTCGGTCCGCAAGCTTTTCTACATTTGATTGTTGCAATCGCTATCACTAGCTCATCTATTGTTAATAGGTCGATTTCGATTTTCTGGTCAGGTGTTTTTTCTTCGTGGCTCAATGCTTTGTGATACAATCACGGTGTATGAAATATACAAAACTCTCTGGAAGAACACATTTATATACTCTCTGGGACAGCGCCAAATCACGTGATATAGTTTGATTTATAAAGCGGTGCTATGTGTTTGCGTACTATTCAGACTTAACCTCAAAAAGTAATTTCAGTTGGATCAAGCGAGATTGAAGAAAACAATTCAACAGCATTTTGAACTATAATAATGGAAGATACCGCAATCTTCAATGTTCAAGAACAATGGTTGAGGCCTCTTCGTTGCGAATTAAATGTATTATCTCGCCCGGATGGCTCAGCAATGATTACTCAAGGTTCATATTTTATATTATGTTGTTACCTTAATACGTTCCTAAACTCATATAGAGTACATATTTTTTTCAAAGGGAATACAGCCGTTGTTGCAGCAGTATATGGTCCAGTGGATGTCAAACCTCAAAGGATTCTTGTGGATAAAGCGAGCATCGAGACAGTGTACAAGCCAAAAAGTGGATTACCCAGTACGTATAATATCCATTTGCTTCGAATTTTTAGTGCTGTACAGCCCAAAAATAATGTTTATAAAATTTTTTTTGTAAAGTCCAGAGAACTTCCATGAATTGTACCACCAAGCATTTGAAAAAGAAGTTAGAGAAATTTAAACATTCATATCAGTTCACTAAGATTAACAACCAGTTGCTCTTAGGGTGGGGAAGAAAAGATTGATTTCAAATATGACAAACAAAACTAGTACAAAACAAAGTGCTCACAATAAAATATAAACTTCATTTGCTAATAGTATTGGCAATTGCAATTTCATCACAACTGAAAATAATCTTTCAGTAAAATGCAACCTTTGCTATGTGTTTGATACATATTTACCCAAACATAATATTAAAGAAGAATTGTATTAAATTATAACAAGCTGGAAATCATAAACAATGGGGGGGATTACTTGGATGTATTATGTGATATTTACAGTATTGAATATAGTGCAGCTTGTTCAAATAATTAAAAACTTTTAAATTAAAATATCCCTGATTTTTTTCCATCCTCTTATTTATCAACATTTTTTATTAAATTACTTGAAAAGTTTTATAGTTTCAAACTATTGAGTAAGTTCTTGAAAATAAATGGTCATAATTACTTATAGGAAATCTATTTCTCCCCCATTGTTTATCACTGTATTATTACTAGGGGTCGGACTTAATGAAATGTCATTTTTTTATTTTCTCTTTAGAGTGATGCCGTTTAATATAGAAATTCATTTTATATTGTGACAAAATGAAATTACCTATTTTTATAGGACATATTTTAGCATTTTTTTTGTTGATTTTTGACTGAAGTCTTTTTTACCTTTTTGTCATTTTTATGCATTTTTCGCTGATTCATTAATTTTAATATCATTTTAATGGTTTTCACTTCAAACAATATTTACAAATGTTTGCATAATTCCTGAGTAGCCTATACGATTTCTTTGTCATATATTGTATGACAGCCATGGTGAGTACTATGGAATGTTATGTTCCTATGATGCCTATCGGTGCCATTGTCAGTTCAGCTGATTTCATGATAAATAAAGGCAGAGATTTTCTTTTAAAGAACAGTCCAAACCAAAAGTTTGCAAGCTGAGTTCACTTGAACAAAAGGAAGAAGCCTGAGATAAATCAGTCACATACCCAACAGCTCGAGTTGTTCATCTGAAGTGGTTTTGATCAGTTTTTTTATGTAACTTTTCTTTGTTTTTAGGACATTTTAAAGCATTTTATTGATATTTTTTGGCAGTGTTTTAGGCCATCAAAATCCGCCCCCCAATTATCGCTATATTTTGTTCATTATTAAAAAAGCACTGGTAATGGCTATCTCTATTGATAGTAAAAATAAATTGGAATAATTGTTTGTTTTTTAAATTAAATTAACCCTTAACTTACCAAGCAAATACCTCATTGAGGAATACATTGAGAAAATAATAGTAATATAATTGTTTTGCAATCCTAATGCCAGTTTTTATGTAACTTGCAAGATACTTTGCCCTAAGATTGAATATGTATCTCAATATAACACTCCCAGTAATAACATATCAATTACAATTCACACATCAAGAAGACTTATGATTTGGTATATTTTGTACATATAGTTACATTAGTATTCATTACATTATAATTATTTTGTTACTGAATTTATTATAATTGAATTGCTGCTATTACTGAATACTATATTACCAAGAATTGGTTGCTCCGACTGGGACTCGAACCCGACCTTCTGGTTTATGCCTGCCGGCTCTAACCACTAAGCTACCCAGAAAACCAATTCTTTGGACAAATTTAATTATTAAAATGCATTGTTACTCAGTAATGTGGTCACAATTTGGATTTCTTTATGATTGTGGAATACATTCTCCGAGCTTAATTGAGTTCAACAAGGTGACGGAATGGTAACATGTGACTAATGTTAACTAATTACAATATATTTTCAGGCCTGAGACAGCTAGACATTTTCAGAATACTTCATGTTGTGATATAAACATTAATATTGACAATAAACTATTTTCTTGAAATTGAGGTAGATTTCATGTCAAATAACTATGCCTCTCATGACATGTCACCAAGTTAAGCGTTAGGCATAAAAAGGAAGAATTTAAAATTTACAAAAATATTCACCATGTTGTGCAATGGAAAATGAAGATTTGTCTCACGACATTGCCAGACAATTATTGCGAATTTTGTAAATTAAGGTACAAGCAAAATGCACCTAATGGAATTGATAATTTGAAAAATTTATTAACCTCTTCCTTGATAGATTTTCAGAAATAGTAGATCTGGCAGTATAAAAATATGAAACCTCTAAAGATGGTCTTGTGATCATTGTAGAGTGAATATTGATACAAAACAAGCTCATTATTGGTCGTGAGGAAGGAATATCCATTTTGTATTAAATTTGTCATTTTGGCTTGACGTAGTTATAATTTTGTTCTGACAAACATTAATAGTAGCATGCTTTATTTCAGATGTAGCAGATAGAATGAGAGAAACTATTATTAAAAATACATGTGAGACTGCCTTGCTGTCTGCAATCCATCCAAGGACTGCAGTATGTATTGTATTGCAGGAAATGCAAGACTCTGGAGGTGTAAGTGACCATTACTGTTTATGTAAGATATCATGTTAATTAACTGAGAAAGATAATCAATTGGAAGGACAGAAGCCAGGAGGAGCGTTTATGAAAGTACATTACTGTTGTGACTGGTGCATTTGAGTTCTTGAACCTTCTATGTTCATTTAGACAACCGTTAATGGTTGCTGTACCAAATTGCTAATGCTAATTGTCATTGACCTTAATGCAACAACAGTATATGAAATTCATGAACAAAATTTATTTGTGCTTTTTATTTGAATTGCTTGGCTGATATCTTAAGAACTAACATGTCAGTGCCAGAGTTGGTGCTACAAATCATTGTGATTTAATTTTAAGTGAAGTAATTGTTTTCTAAGTTCATTTCCATTAACAATTGCTGGTGATTATAGGTTCTGAAGCTCTAGTATATGTGTAACACCAGTCGTTGCTCTGACAGTAACTGTCAAACATGCAAGGAAATATGGAAGTACACTAAAGTCGCATTGAAATTAAAATTGGAAAATGAATTTTGTGTTTATTATTTTAAATTCCTTTTATTAAAGAATGGACTCAAATTTATTTCATGTGACCAAGCTTTGTTGAGAATCTGCTTTTTTAAAATATTTTTGACAACTTGAAACAAATTAGATTTGCAGGAATGTCCAACTATTTAACCCGGCAGAGCTCAGCTGGGCCTCTAAATTAATTGGTGTGGGTTTCATTGTTTCTTTGGCTATGCAATAGAAATCTGTGGTTCTGAATAGTTTCCTGAATTATCTTGTTATATTATGCTGCAAGCGATGTTTGCATAATAGTTTTGAATGTGTTGGGTTCTGTAAATCTCCTGCAAGCATAGTTCCATGTGAATATTTACTATTAAATTGAGATTTGAGCAAATTTTGAGTTTTTTAACAAACTGAAAGATACATATTTCAATGAAATTTAATATGTCCTAAAGAGAATTTATGGGAATGGGACGGTGTTACCGGTAATGAACACTAAAAAAGAAGTAATGAAGAGAAAGGATAGACATAGTCAAAACATGTGCTATATACAATATCGCTAATTTGATTTTTTAATATTATGATGCATGTTACTGGCTTCTTTTACAATTTCTAACTGCATCAGTAATTTGGAAGTATGTGCCACTATGTTTCGAGAATCTGAGTCTTCAACTTGGGCAGACTGGTTGTGCATTTCCAAATGACATTAGTCAACAGTTGTGCATTTAAATTCCAGACAGGGCAACCACAATTTGAAGAGATACTAAAACTCCATATTTTTCTTAAATTTCTTTCCTAAGAGCACATTTCTATTGTCAGATGTGTCTGTGATAAATTTAATTTTAAAAAACGTTAGCAATAGTTTGCAAATGTATATTTTCATTAGAAAGTTGTAGGGTTAAATAATTTTTGTAAAGAAAATATCTTCCAGTTTATGTATTTTCCCCCATGATTATATGTAATAAATGCAATCCAAATTTTAAAAAACAAGGTTGATTAAAGATTAATATTTGTAACAATTAACAAAACTTTCAGATTTTTTATTTTTGGCTTTGCTTTTCAGTTGTTGTCATGTTGTATTAATGCTGCTTGTATGGCATTAATGGATTCTGGGATAGCTATGAAGTTTCTTGTTGCAGCTGTGAGTTGCATGATTAGTGAAGACGACATCATTTTAGATCCTAGTGACAAGGATCTTACGGTAAATATTAAAGTATTATTAGGGAGTGTGTACACCCTCGTACATTTAAGCACTATCAATTTTCTGTGCTTGCACAGATCGATTGTGCTGTCTGCTATGACATGCAAAAACTTCTTATTGTATTGAACTGCCTTGCATTTCTTCATATTTTTTCAGTTTCAATAATTTTTATTTCAGGGAAGTAAAGCATCATTAACCTTTGTGTTTGATAGTGCAAAGAAAAATCTGGTAGCATCACACACCTCAGGTGTATTTTCTCAAGAACAGTACCATGAAAGTCTTTTAAAATGTCGTCAAGCCAGTTGTGAAATATTTGAATTTTACAGGTCTCTAGTTAAAAAATACATCATATGCATTTGAATTCAAAGTACAAACAAGAAGAAAAATTTTCAAACAAATACTTGATAAGTGGAAATGTAATTACGTAATATGTACAATATAGTCTTTTTTTTATATAAAAGTTACTGTACATGTGAAATAAACAGAATAAATTTACACAAAAGTAAGAAAAAAAGTTTTTAAAAATTCAACCTATCTGGTCCAAAAGACAAACGTTCACACGCATTTTTTTAGCAACAGGAGTTTCTGCTTTGACAGCTTTCCTTTTAGTGCCCTAAGGAAGATAAACAGAATCAAGTTTCAGAACAAAAATTAACGCGTATATACATAATGTAGCAATTGCAACAATGTAGTAAAACTCACTCTTTCTTGTTCTTTGGCATCTTGGCTCAAGTGGGCAAACACAAAATTGCGTGAATGTGTTGGTGCTGTTAGATTAAGTTCACCACTATTCTTAGTTATTTGTGCTATTCGTGCTAAAGCTGCTTCACTTCGAGACAAAAAGGAGCCCCGCTTTATCTGTAAATATAATAAGTAAAATAAATAAACATTCAATGCAAAATCAAACTGGTTCAATGGAACAAAGCAGTTCTTACCACTCCTGTTTTCCTTGGGACTAGTTCTGGAGTTTTAAATTTAAGTTTAATTGTATCAATCAGGGGCTCTTCTTCTTCTTTTTCTAAGGAGTTCTGAAAGCAGAAGTACATTCACTGTGTTTTTTATATACAAAGAATGTTCAAATGGTATTGAAACAGGAATGCCCATACCAAGTGCTTAATTTTTAGCTAAATAAGAGAATTTTGAATACATAGTTCTTGCTATCTACAAGAACTCTGTTACATGACAATGCTGTAAGGCATTCACTGAGATAAATTAAATCCAATTCAAGATGTTTTCAAATTTACTTTAATTTTTAAAAGATTCCCCACAATTAAGCACTCCATGCACCACATACTTAATGTTATAATAGTCTCCAATACGAGAACCAAATTACCCTGTGTTCTTCAAGAAAAGTTTCACGTTCAAATCTCTTGCGCCGCCACTCTGATTCATCTTCCTCTTCATCATCATCCCCAACGGTTTCATCATCCGATTTTTTAGAAGTTTGGAAGTCATCTGTATTATCTGATATAAAAAATTTACATAACTACATAATTTTAGACCTTTTTTAATCACCAGATCAGATAATGTTATCATAGTGGAATTTCACTAAGATTAACATCTGCAGTGATTCAAGATTTAAAGTTGAACCTTTCTCGTGCATTATCATAGCTGTAAATCTAAAATCTTGTAAAATGTAGGTAGTTTGAATAAAACCGATATATTAACAAAAGCCAACAATCAAAAACGTCTAACAATTTTAGAACCAAATACTAGACTAACTTAGATTTTTCCAACGGAACTGTCTTTGGCGGCCTCCTCCCTCACTATGAAATTCTCCATCTTCTAGTAAGAGCTCCTGCAGCCTTCGAACTTCCTGTTGATCTTCATCTAGTACTCGGCGCCTGCAACGTATAATATGTATAATGTTAAAACTAATGAGATGATATTATGGAGAATACATAATACTGTAGATTACAGTATACTTCTAAAAAATAATGAAAGATGAACTCTCCAATATCATTAGTATATATAATCATATTGTAATGAAGTACCAAAAGTATATCAGAAAAAAAAAAAGTTTATTTTGAATGATAAGGTACATTCCATCCAAAGTAAAATTTCATTTAAATGTTTTTCAGAGGCATTGTTAGACAAACTTCCCCAATGAAAATCTTTAGCAATGGTATGATACACATAAGAAACATAGAAGCAAATGTAAGAAAGAATGATAGGATAGGAACATGTCTTTTGTTTGTCTATATTTGCAAGCAGCCTCATGGCAAAACAAGTTTCCAAACAGACAAGAGGGTTAATTTCCAAAGATTAGAATAATTCAATCTTTTGAGAATCTAAACTTCATGCATACGATCCATTCATGACAAGTTAATAGATAACGAAACCTGTCTGAAATTAATCAACACTGATGAGATTCTTACAAGGACCTATAGAAAATGGAAGTTCTCAATTTCACTGAAGTCCTCAAAGAAATGATAAATAACTAATAATAAAAATTCAAGTTCAAACTTAGAAGGGAGGGAGGAAAAATAGTAGTAACAAAGACACTACTTTACAGGATACTCCCTCAATGCCACATGCCATCCATTATATTGAGTAACCTGCATACATATCTATTAGGCACGGTCTACAATAAGAATTCGCATACAAGTTTGTATTGTTGATGAATTGATAAAAAAGAAGGTGCCCAAAGATCTCTTGAATAAGTTTTCATTGTGTCTTCATTCTAATTAAAATTTTCTCAGCACTAGATCTGTCAAGCCTCTACCGCAATCTGCCGGAAACAGCACAGTACGTCTGCTTTCTAGAATTTCTAATACCTACATTTTATGAAAATCTAACATTTCTGTTGCATACAAGGTTGATGTACTTAATGTCAAATCTCTTGGTTTGAATGGCATCCAAGAAAATGTTTCCATAGTGACAATGCTCTAAGGTTTCTTAAGCTTCAAAAACATTCATCAGCATACTTATTCATAAGAAATGTGATAGATTAGTTCCTTCCTGTAATATTTATATAGCAGATACTGTTTTATCACAGAATGTGTTTAATTTCTCAATTTTTGGGCCCCTAATACTTAATGGGGGATGTCAGAATACCTAATATTTCACAATTTAACACATTTAAAGAACAGAATTTCAAATGTTTACAAACATTGATAACATTAACATGAACCAAATTAATTTACAATTATTTGACCAACAATAAAAAGTGCACATTGACTAAAAATAAATATTTGTAATAAATAACACAACTTATATAATAAATTATAACAAATCCTACCAAAAACTGCACAATGGCATCAATTTCTTTACTTACATGTGGATTTTGCCCAACTGCTCCTTAACTTTATTTTGATCCAAAGTCTCCCCATCTCCTTCCTCCTCTTCAAAATCATCCAAATCTTTCTCATCTTCATCAGCACTTCCCCACTCTGATTCTGATAATTCTGCTTCATTTTCAAAGAAATCTTTAGCAGCAGCAGGCTTAAGAACAATTTCATTTTCTTCGGAATCATAATCTACTTCTTCTGGTTCATCAGCCTCAAAAGTAGACTCCACATCACTTGTTTCCAATTCAATTTCATCTTCATCATCTAAAAAATACAAATACAATCCTTTGTAATTATTTCTCAACTTTTTGAAATAACAGTAATGTGTTTATTAAAAATTACACCAAGACCCTAATTAGGGAAAGACAGTTTCTTTAGTGTTATATAATAATAATATTCAATGGAAGGTGATTCCCAATGATCACAGGTTGTAACAATTTTTTAATTAAGTACATTTAATGCAAGAAAATCCGGCAAAGTAAGACTAAATCAAATGGGTTGTAAAATTATCATCAGATTATTCATTTCTATCTTGTTTCAGTTATTGATAATTTCCCAATACAATACCAAACAATTGGAGCGTCTTGTGAACTGAATGATTTAACATGTTATCAAGAAAGCTACAGAAAGTCTTAAAGTCTTAAGCAATCTTCATAGTAAACAAACTTGGAATCACTACTTTAATTGGCGGGTAAGTCAAGTTTTAGTCCACAATGAGTATGTCAGAACATTGCTTAACTACAATACTATCGTGTATAGAATGATAAGTGACATTTCAATTTTTCCATTTATATTTAATGCCAAAATTGAAATGTTACTTATTCTCTTACACCCAATGAGAGTACTGTAATAAAGCAATATTCTTGCATACTCATTTTGGACAAAAACTAGATTAATCCCCTTTTACATGCCACCTTGCCAATTCATTAAGTTTCATATCTTATTTCCAACACACAATGGAAATAATTGTTGTGATACACATGAGAACCCAGTTAGTGGATCAACATATTCGTGAATTATTATACAACTTCAGAAAGATGTTGCATGCTTTCATTTTATGCTTTGGTTTATGAAAGAAAATATTAACCACAAAGCAATGTGCAGTTGCCACAATGCACTTTCTTATATTGATTAAACATATATTTTTTCTTTATATATTTATTAATCATATTATTTCTCAGAAAATTAAGTAAAGGACTGACATTCACAAAAATTATTACCTGAAAATATCAATTTTGGTTGTGTTTTCTTTGAAACTTTAGTTTCTGGCTCATCTTCATCATCTGATAAAATAACAAATTTCTTCCTATTTGCAGATGAAGAATTATTCTTTTTAGCTTCTTTGTTTATTTCTCCTTTTGCAACCAAATCACTTTTTGCATCTTCAGAGCAACTCTCTTCTTCATACTTGTTTGATGGCAAAAAGTTTTCAAAAGATTTAATACCTTGTGTTTTCTTTCCTGATACACCTAAATCACTTTCAGAATCCATGTCTTCTTGTGAAATTTCAGGCATTTGAGAAGTGAATTTGCCAGAGCACAAACCTAGGAGTTCTGCTTCAGCTGCATCTGCTTCATTTGTATTGTTTTGGATGCCTAGATCTATGAAGAAAAAGCACATTCTATTTAATTGGGTGGTTTTACAACACTGAAGTAATGTAGAAAAAAGAAAATTATAAATCAGGGGACTAATATTATAGCAATTTTGTAAACAATAAACGTTAAAAACTAAGAGTAGCTACAATTGCACATACTTTTTTGTATTATCTAAAATATTTATGTAACATATTTCAACATGCATGCTTTGAATACTTCAGCCATCTCTTCAAAAAACTTTTCACCAAACAAAACACAGAACATTTGAAAAATACACAGTAGAAACCCTTATTTGTGCTTTCTAAGAGACTAAGAAAAATATTTACATTGTGGGAAAATGTAAATGGTAGGATATTATTTTTGCTTGTATAATAAAATACATAACATTTATAACCCACTTTTAATAATACCTAATTTTTAAAGAGGAAATGTTTGACTTCTTGTGCCAAAGGGCTTGTGTGTGTTTGAAATCAATATACTTGATTCTACTACTTTCCAAATGTTAACACATCGAGAAAAGCACACTATATGAGAACAATGCAAAGATTTATTTTATATCCATGTAAGCACCAACACAGTAAACATGCCTGGAAGAAGAAGAAAATAGCAATTTCACAAATGATTTTAAACTAGTGGTGCTATAGAATGGCACAGACTTTATCGTAGTAATGTGTTCTAATTTTCTTAGCGCGGATTGGTTTTATGGTCTTGCCAGCTGCCATCTATTACCGCCCTTAGTAAATTTTTTTGACATTTTCTCAATTTTTCAGTTCCTAATTGTAGAACTGAAATATTACTTTAAGAAAATTAACAAAGAGGAACCCCTCATCATAAATGGCAATTTTCATTGAACAATTTGGAGCCATTTTTTAAAATTGGCATTTAAGCATTACTGTAAATACAAAATTTGAACCACTTTTTCACTGAAAATTTTTGAATTTTTAAAAAAACTTCATTCAAAGTCATCTATGGTATTTTAACTCGCAAATGCATTAGTGTTTATAAATCGCTGGAAATGTGCATATTTACAGCATGAGATATATTAAAAGAAAAAAGAAAGAAAAAAAACAACATTTTGAGTAATTTTCAAAACACCAAAATGACACCCCCCCAAAAAAATTTGTAATTTTTAACAGTGCAAATAGGACAAACTTAGGAAAATTTGAAGAAAAAAATTTTGAACCATTTTTGAGAAAAAGGTTCCAAATTTCACATTTTCAGTGTTTTTGAATATGAGGATTTTGAGCTCATTTTAATAGAAAAATTATTGAGTTTTCGAGAAATCTAATATGACTTTATTTAAAGAAAATATACTTATAAATACAATAATGCTAACGAATTGTCAATAATGTAAATATTGCAGACGTAAAAAAGTAATTTTTGAAATAACAAAAGTTAAGAGCAATGTGGCATTTATGTCATCTTATAGAGCGCATTTAACACTATCCCTACCATTTGCTCTCCCTACCGCTTGCTTACAAATGATGTGCGAGACGCACATAACGTATGTTACCCAGGAAACCAATTTTCAAAACGTAGCCTGCACTATCACTTGTTCACAACAAGCAAATGCTTGCAAGACACAAGCAAATTCTTCGGAGACATACAAAGTTTTTTATTCATACAAAATGGAGCTTTTGCTCAATATCATGGAGTATACTACTTTGCTCCAGAGAAAATGGCTTTGTAAACCAAAATTAAGAATAGCTTTTAAAACTTCAGAGAAAGATACATTTCACCTTTTTGAAACAAGTACACATTTTTAATCACCGTTATACTGATGCTGCCGTTTTAACAAAAATTTAAATATTCAAATTTACAGCTACTACAAAGAACTTTACAAACAGTAAACTGTCAAGTTATTTTCCTTCATATGGAAATACACCTTGAAATTTTCATTAAGCCAATTATGCTACAAACATGAAGTGTATTATCTTGAGAAACATCTCACCACTGTATGATGCTGAAGTTTGAGGAAATTGTGAGAAGACATTCTCTGCATTTTCATCCTCCTTCTGCAAAAACAAACATTTTCATGACTTTCATTGTGATAATAACAGTACCAGCACATTAAGTCCAAACATTTAAACTAAATTTTAGAGGGGAAATAATAATAATAATAATAATAATAATAATAATAATAATAATAATAATAATAATAATTGCATTTATTTCATACTAGGTCTTGGATCCTGATAAATTCTAAGACCTATCATTAGGTTCCCTACAATTTTAAACATCTAACAGTAATACCATTACAATATACAGTGAACAATAACACCTCTTTAAGAAGGGCCACCCCATTCCAAGACCAGTTTTATATCGAATAGAATAACTTTTCCATTAGACCAACGTACTTTTATCCCCCTTAAAGACAACCACCTCTCTTTCCGACCAATGACCAAGAAATTCTGTTGAAATGTATTTCCCTTTAAGAGAACCAGGAAACATCACACTGAAATTAAAAACCCGAGAGATCATGTGCACAGTGAGCCAAGCCATTTCTACTACTGAGCTACAGGGTCTTCCGGAGAGGCATAAGCAATTGGGGGCATGAAATTTCATTATAACTCTGAAGGGGAGACCTTCCGCAAAATAGAGAGAAAATATCACGTTATAAATGTGAAAGAGAATTTCACAGAAGCAACATAATACTCCTGGATCAACATAATCAGGAAACCACAGAAAGACAGAAACACAACTGACTGTTCACTCTTGCGAGTAAGCAACTGAGAGTAAGTTGTTACAGCATGTAAGAGAAAATGGATTTTTTTTTCTCTGGAAGAATACATTAATAAGTAATAAAGGAGAGTGATAAAGATCTCAGCAGGACTTGGGTAAACAGTGTAATTGTGAAAAAAATCAAATTCAAAACTGGCTTGCAAATCATGATCATTTCTTGAATGAGTGTAAAAAACTGCCAATAAAAACAAGAAGAAAAAAACGCTGGCAGTCAAATGAAACATTTCATGGTGCAATACTCCCTTTCAGAAGACCACCCCTCTACAAGACCAATTTTAAGGTAATAATCACATGGTCAACTGAAAGAAGTTTTACTGTTTTCAAAATTATACATTTACAATACACATTTTACAACATCGCTTTACAGATATCTCAGATCCTAATTTGTTACTCTAATCTTTTTTCAATGTTGTTTGCGGCAGCCACTATGGAGTTTAATATTTGTTATTGTTGTGTTAGTATATACTTGATAAATGCATTTAGTATTTAATTTTTAAAATTAATTCTAGATTTGTAGCCAATCTTTAATATCTTCACAGATTTTATACTTTACATAGAGATTTATATTTGGTGGAGGTGCTGCATTAAACTTTGGGTATTAGATACTTTATGCTTTTCCACCATAGCGGTTAAATGCAAGCGGGGCATAATACTGCAGTCTTCTAATAAACATAAGTGGGTGAAATCTTGAAGGTATAATCACAATAATGTTGAATTCAGTGCAAGTATTGGTTTCATCCTGATGAAGTTACTGATTCATTATTCGCTAACAGTTGTTTCCCATGCAAATTCTTTATGCTATTTCTGGCAATTTTCTTAGCAACCTGGATAAACAATTTCACTTTCACTAATATCTTCTTTGTAAGTACACCAAGACACATGTAAAATGTCCAGCTGCCAGATTACAACCTCCTCAACACATGACTTCGTACCTTACATTTATTCGATAAATAGTAATAATATTTTAATAATAATAATAATAATAATAACAACAATAATAATAAAAATGTATCTCACATGAAGTACTGGTAAAGTAGGAGGCAGAATGTCTATGTATGACTCTTCACCAACAGGATCTGTTATTTGAGAAATGGCTCCACCAGGTTGGTAGGGAGGAATACTTAACGAGCTTTCCAATTCGACATCAGCTGTGAAAAAAATTTCAAACCTTAATTCAATAAATGAAAAAAAATTTAAAACCCCTCCCCACTTACACTTTAGCAGATCTTTATTGATAACCTTTTATCAAGTTGTTCTTAATGTATTCTACTATATTTTATCACTTATTTTCTAACATATTTATACCCTTCTAAATTAGAAGTACTATGTGCATAAGGTCTTTACTTTAAGTCATATCCTTTGGCTGGGAGCAATTGCTCGTGTTACTGTAATTTGGTAAATTGTTCACTCATCTCTACCACCAGTCAAGGTACAACTATGGATGGCATAGAAGACTGGCCTAGCAGAAGTAAGTCATAAGATGAAGTAATTTTCCTGATTCTGTGTTTTTACCAAAGATTCCATCTGATGATCAGGTATGAGACTCGCATGCTGGAGATAGTACTTTCAGTTGGGGTGATGGTGATGCTGGATAGGATATGTAGGGGCATGAATAGGCAAGACAAAATGTCTGTTTTTGAGGCTCCACCGGTTATGATCTAGGAATCAAAACTGTATAATGAAATTGTGGAGGGAGTTATGACTTATTAATCACAACAAAAAAGTTATTCTGTAATAAAAGCTGTCTCAGAAAGATATTAGAAAGGCAGTTCATGAAACTTCATCGCCGAAGAGCAGATTCCCACGTAACTGCATCTTTTCTTTACTAGAAATTGGATGAAACCTTGATAGAAATTTGAAGCATGAAATGGACATTAATTTAGTACTTGTTTTATTTTGAAAAAAATTGCACAATTTGGGGGTTACTGCAAGATATTGCACATTTTTTACAATGCTGCCTGAAAATTTGCACATTTTGGGGTTTTACTGGACCAACTTGCAAATTTCATTGTTTTATTGCATATAATATAATTTTTACATTATCAACTTGTTTTAAAATATCTTTTTTAAGGGTGTCATGTAAGAAGAAAGTTATTATAACATAACACAGCAGTGCTTTCAGGTGGTCCGTGAAACCCGAGTGGTGTTGAATACGTATCAATTCTGCATTTCATGATGCCTATTGTCTAATTAAAATTTCTCAGTTATTGCAGCAGGGATATGTGGTGTCACTACGAACTCAGTCCACAGTCATTGGTTGCAGCTGCTCAGCCAATGCTACGTTCAAGATCTATCTTCTCAATCGGATCAAAAGTATATCCGTTTGTTATTCTTCATCTTTGGTGAAGATACAAGACTCCATGAGCAAGTCATATTTGACCTTGTGTCCAGATGCGAAGCTTAGTGGCCATCGCAATGTGTTTCAAATTCATTGAATTTCTCGAAACAGACATTGCCTTGTGAGATACGAGAGAGAATAAACATAGTTTTTGACCACTTTTAGCTGCATACATTCATACGTCAGAGTGAGGAACGGCTCACAAACAAGGGTAAATGTAGAACGAAGTTTTTCCTGTGTGAAACGTATATTAGTTGATAGAATATATTATAATTTCCCAGAAAATAATTTGGAAATATTCGCAATTGTAAATTACAATGAAAACAATTAAGATTTCTTCCGTAACTTAATTATTTTTGATTTCTGAAAGTATATTTGTATTTTTCAAGTTTTATATTTTTATGTTAATTTAATTTTGTGTGCAAATAATATTTAAATGTCAAATATGGTTTGTTTAAACAATATATGCAAACTTAATTTTAATTAAAACACTAAAAACATATTTCATTTACCTTAAACATCACATTAAAAAAATAAAATAAGGTCATATGAGGATTAACTGGAGATTTTAGGTACATAATACCATTTTGAAATTTTTAAAATCTTTTTATTGCACATTTTGGTGTTTTTACTGCATGTTTTAAACAGTTTTACTGCACGAAAATCCTGTCTTTATTCATCGCCATTCATTATTATGAGGATGATGAGGCCAAAGAACAGAATTAGTGCTTTCTCCTTCCTCCGACTAAAATAGCCGTATTTCCTCCTCGCCAAAACCTGAGAGTATGTGACTGTCAAAGACTCTTCATGCAGTTGCGAAGTCACCATGACTCGCATGGATTTCCAAATGCCGATTGAAAGTTCAAATAAAGACCCTGAATATATGCGTTATACTTGCTTCTCTTTCCACTGCGAAATTGATACATTCTTTCAGAAAAAGCAAATAGAGATCAGTAAATCAAAAGTAAACATCCACTGTTAGAAAAATGTGTTGCCCCCTTTTCCAAGTGAAAAAATATAGATTCCACGAAAGATTACTTACTGTCCTGAGACTGTGATGGATCAGCAGCTCTTTTAACTTGTTTCATTGAAGATGACAATACCGATTCATTTGTTACATCACCTGGAACTACAAAATAATGAGTTTCATTAGCAATATTTATCAATTAAATTACATTTTTTGTTAAAAAAAAAGGGAAAAAAAGAAAGAAAGAAAGAAAGAAAGAAAGAAAAAAAAGAAAAGAAAGAATTTAGCAATTCTGGTAAAATAAGAAATAACAATATACAGTAAAACTCCTCTTTTACAATTTTTCAAGACTCCAAGAAAAAATGGTGTAAAACCCTTTTACTTATATAATAAAATACAGCACATTTATGCACTACTTTTATTAATAAAATTACTGTATTTAACTGAATATAAGATGAGAGTTTTTCCTAAATATCTAAGTCGAAAAAGGCAGGGTTGTCTGTCCTGAAACTCCTAAATATTGACATGGCAATACACTGAGAATACAGTAAAAATTTTGCACGTATCTACAATACGTTCACGGTCGTATTTTCAGCATCCACAGCGAATCTTCAAATTTGCCGGGCAATTCAGACTGACATTTGGATGAATGGCATTGTATAATTGGCATTGAAATGTAACATGAAAATGAATGCCGAGATTTTGTTACACAAAGCGGGTTTAATGAGGCTACGTGGAATCTGGGTTTACGCCCAGTAAGAGCCAATCTGCGTTTTGAACTGTTAAAAAAACAGAGGGCATCAACATGTGCAGGACACTGAAAATACGGTGACACAAAAGGGAATGTTCTTGGGTAGCGTGTGATGAGACTAAGAACAATGCAAATTAAATGCCCAAAACTTTCAGTCAGGGCTAAAAAGTCAGAAGATGTTGCAGTATGGAAGGGGAACTAAAAGAAAAAGAACAATGACATATGTGGAGATGACGAAGGTAGTGACAAAAAATATGATTACGATTTTAAGGAACAAGAAAATGATAATTCGATAATAAGTCTTCTTGTTCTCACCAACAAGGCAATTTTGTAGTTATTAAGACAATTTGCAATTTTATTTTGACTTAATAGTAAGAATTCGTTAGCAATATAAAAATTTCTCAGGAGACTGGGGTTCGCCTTATATTCGGGTAAATACAGTAACATTCATTGAGAAATTATCGGACTTCTTATGGTCTATACCTCAAAATACACTAATTCTCTTGTGTATTATTAATTTTTATTTTCCCAAGACTACACCACTGAAACCATTTTCTGATCAACTCAATACTCAAAACATTTTAAAGTGTACACAATAAAAAAATACATAACTGTAACAAAATAACATGTTAGTGAGCGAAAGGAAAATAATGTAAACAATGGTGCTTGCTGATTTGGGATTACTTTCAGAATTGTTTTATAATGGGACAAAAAAATTGCTCTTAAAGGATATTTTTTCATGACAAAGAGACAGTAGTTTTGTTAGGGCACCCACTGAAATACTTTTCAATACTTGAACACTAACCCCCCCCAACAGGGTTTTCACGTTGCTGCAGAAATGCAGACTCCTAGTGTTATTATTAGAGCCTGAAAGTTTGGCAAAATGCCTTTTAGTTATTGTTACAATTTCATGACTTTTGACAGTGATTCACTTGATCGTGCTTCTGGGATTGTTTAAGTAGATTTCTATTTTGCCTATTTTAGCTTCTGAGGCCTATTTTGGCATTTCATCTTATTTGAGCCTTCCTCTTCCCACAGATCTTGATCAAGCTGGATTTTATCTTTCTGTGGAAACAGAGACGTTATTTCCTTCCTTTTTCATTTAGATTTTTACGTCAAGCGTTGTGATTTTTTTGTCGTGTCGAGGAACTGACACAAGACACAAATGAGACTTGACACAAGGAATCCCATTCTACTTCGAGTACGGCCACATATCCCATCTAAGGACAGCTATCTGTGAATGACATACCGTTCTCAGTACTGGCGATTATACAAGTGCACAGAACGAAAAATATAACTCTATTTTCACTATTGCCATTTCAAGATTCAAAAGGGAGTCCACAAAATGATTTCAAAGAGAGAGCGTAGCGAATAAAACAAATTCATAGCTATCGGTCCTGTGGAATCAAGTTTGCCAAGAAAAGATAGTTTCCTTACAAATTAAGTGCAAACGTAACTTTTAGAGTTAGAATAAAAGTGTGAATAATTTTAATTATTACCTTTTTTGCAATAATTCCTTTTAAATGTGATTTTTCATTGTTTATGTTCCTTTTTGCAATTATACTTTATCTAGAAAAAAAGCTTCTTTTTTTTTTATAAAAATTTAATGCATTTTTAAGTGCCTATTTTAGGTAAAATAAATGCCTGAACTTGTCATATTACCAGCAATCCATGAATCATTCCTAAACAATATGCAACCCACAACAAATTATGAATTTTGTCCTTATTAAAACAACAACTAAAGCAATACTCCTAAACTAGGTGACTCCCAGGACAAAATCGAGTAAGCTTTGACTTTCCCAGATTAGAGTGGCCACTCCTTTCCTAAAACAAAAGTCACACCCTGTCTATCAACAGCTTTTTTTTTTTCTTTCACTAATAAGATTCAAAGAGTATTTTATTCTATTTATAAAGAACATTAAAGCAAGCCTGAAACTAATTTGCCAGCACTCTTTATTGTGCTGTGATAAGAGTACAAATTTTTTAAAAACTCAACAATTCTCTCTTTTTATAACCATCTAATTTTTTTCCCCCCAATCTAATGAGACTTCACAAATTCCCTGATTTTTATTTCTTTTTCCCTTTCTTCCCGGTTTTCCAAAAAGTGGTCACCCTGTTGATCAGTCAAATATTTGTAATACTTAGTTGGAACAAATAAACAAGAGCCATGCAGTCCTCAGCATTTGTAGTCTGGGTAAAAAAGTGTAAATGGAAGGAAATTTTAATTTCCAGTGTAAAACCATGGGCATTTTTGTATAGTAATCATATAGAAATCAAAAGGATTGTTAAAAAAACAAAAATTAAAGCTGTAAATAACTTGAAAACATGATTTTGGAAATGTAAAAGAGAGTTTTTACTGAATTCTGAAAATGAAACAAAAATGCTCTCACCTTCTTGAGATTCAAATGGATCTATAGTCTTCATTCTCTTCAAAGAACTATTTGATAAAATTATTTCAATAACTTCTTCATTTGTATCTTAAACCCAACAAATTACAAATTAATACTGATAGACACATTAAAAGAAGAGAAACAAAGTCAAAAAAGTGTTTACTATTAACTAAAAATCTTTTAGTTAATTCTAAGCAACAATAAAAGTCTACAGTGATTAATAGATACTAGATAACATTTTTGAAGGACATAACTATTTGTTAATTCCTAAAAAAGTAATTTCCACATCTTTAACAAGGAAAGTATAATATATTGTTAGTGGATTACAGATCTTTAAAAAGTGATGAGGTAAGCACAGGTAAAATGTACACATAAGGAAAAAGATCTTCATGAACACGCGTATTGTGAAGGGTAGTTACCAATTTATTTTGCAACTTGAATCTCTCTTTTCAAACCACATTCCATGTTGACTGCCAGTGTTTCCACAGTGTCCTTGTTTGTTGGCAATACACATTTTAATAACTCTCAAGTATTGTTAGACTTAAACTTGTTTGTCGGTGCATGTCTATAACTTTAGGATTTTTCAGGCAAAGAATGCATCTACTATTTCTTTTGCCAGAACCCTTATTAAATATGAAAATAATTAAATGTATATAAGCTAATAAAAAGCAATCATGTCTGAATTACATTTGCAATGTTTTTTAACAACTTGTTCAATTGCATGTGTCTTTGAGACTAATTTTGTTAGTGTGAATTTGTATTCCAAAATGCATCATCATCATCATCATCATCATCATCATCATCATCATCATCACCACCACCACCACCACCACCACAACAGGTTGACACACTGACCTCTAAATGTGTAAATTGAACATTGATAAGGGTCCTGCACTAGCACATTAGTCCCATGTTAAGTACAAACCAAACCATCAGATTACCTTTGGTTGAAGAGGTCTCTTCTAATATCAATTTATTCTCTTCATTATCAAGATCATGCTCATCATCACCATCATCATCATTATCAGAGTTTCCAGATTCATCACACTCATCTTCTTCTGAAACCTCAGCCTCATCATCCACAAATGCACAGGATGGTTTTTTACTTTTATGTTCTGTTTGAGCTTCATCTACTTCTTCTTCCTCTTCCTCGTCATCCTCATCATCTTCACTTTCATTATCTGAGTTTAATGCATTATCACTTTCTGAAATTTCTTCGTCATCTTCATCAAACAGTCCACATTCAGATTTTTCGTCTGCAATGTTAGACATTTTTATTAAGAAATTATACAGAAACAAAATTATCAATATTAGTACAATATGTGACTCAATTAATCTTCACAATACTGACAAATTAGAAACTGCCTCAAGAGACTTAAGGTACATCGAACTCAAAGTTTCAGAATCACAATTTTACTATAATGTATTCTAATTTCTTAACACACTTCTTTATAATGAAAAACAACTCTCTGTACATATTACTGCAGTTTGATTCCTTTACCTCATAACACACACACACACACCATGTATCAAAAACACTTCATAAGGAAAGGAAGTACTTAGTCTTGGGAGTTTTATTATGAAGTTAAATTGAATTTCTTTTCATTTATATTCCGTATAATAGCTCCACTAAGAATATAGAATGTAGTGTGACAGAAGAGAATATATAAATAACATTTGTCAATTAAACTACTTTAATCTCTTACACGAGCTCCCAACAAATGCAGATGAAACTATTAATGTAATATAAGAGTTTGTTTGAGAATATATGAACCAATTCATTTCTCAATTTCTAAAACAAGTACACAAACAGAAGTGAATAACACAAATGATGTTAAGGTATGTGAACACTTAAAACAACATAGTTTCAAGTCTTCATTCACCAATAGACAGGAGTTGTACTCTCAGTCACAAATAAGTAGTTTCCCAAGGTTAAAGACTCATGTTCTAAAAAAAATTAATAAATGTTCAATTTAATATCCATTTTCCTAAACAACCAATGTCTAGTAATAATATATCATTTGTTGTAAAAAACAAATGTACAACTATTTGTTGTCAAAAGAGACCCTTATTAAACCACACCCTTCTAAAAGATCTTTTTACAGAACCAACAGTGGTCACTTAATAGGTTTCACTATACTTTCTACACAAATTCTACTATGAAATTCTCTACATTGTATTCTATTTCTTATACAATTCAATTTCTTTAATGTTCATATAAAAGATATCGAAACAGTGCAACATACGTTTTTCAGAATGACTCATTATCTTGTACAACCCCATCCCTTTTTGGATCATAATTATGAGACGATTTCGTCAATGTTGAAGACCCCATCAATGAAATTATTGACAGAATCGAATGACAAACTTATTTACAAATTGGTCAACTTAATATTACTAGCCATTCAGTATTGGAAGAATTGAGATTTAATGTGCAAAATTGAGTAAGAACACAAGTTCCTCTGCTATTTTACACTCAGATGTATGGTACAGGGTACACTGCGAATTATCCCATAACAAGAATGTGTAATTTAGTAAACATATATGGGATTGAATGTGGCATATTATGTGGCATGTATGTGGCATAAATGTCATGACCAACAATATGTTAGTTCAATAAGACAGCAGAGTCTTTGATTTTAAAATACGAATAAGTAATGTGACATTAATTTATAAAATATGAGTGTCGTTCTTTTCGCCAATAAAGTGAAGATGAGCTACTCCAATGAAGCGACAGTCATAAATCACAAGAGCCTCAGAGCGTTGTTGTTCCACCTACTATTTCTGTTAAACTGTATTTACTTTTGAACATTGTCTGTATAATAAATATATAAATTTATTGAAAAATTAACAACTTATTCTGAACTTACCATAGGTTTCCGAATAAGCTTCCTTTGCTTCTAACTGACGTCTATTCCATTCTTCTTCTCTTTCCTTCACAATTTGTCTTTGTAATTCTTCCTTCAATTTAAGAAGTTTTTCCCGAGATCCTAATAAGTTTTCTGTTTCAGATTCCACAGTTACTATCTCTTTTTTCACTTCCATCTCCCCACTTGGCCCTTTCTCTGCCACAACAACACTAGGGGGGAAAAAAGTACAATCAAATATTTGTCCACAAACTATACATTTCTATTAAAAACAAAATAACACAGTATAAATTATATACCTGACATCAACACTAGTTTTCTGAGGAGCTGAAAGTTTAGGGAAAGAATGCCTTAGAAATCTCCGCTTCAATACATTTATATCACATGTACTGGGTGTATCGTCTAAATCTATTACTTTACTAGGACTTCCTTTTAATTGAGGTATTTCTTTCTGTAATTTCAATGATTTGCGTGTTGATTTGAATCTGTCTTCTAATAGAGACATAGTTCGAAGCAATTTTGCATTTTTTGCATCATCACCTCCTCTCAATTTTTGTATTGCATTCATAACATTTTCATTACTGTCTGAAGAAGCATCTTTCACACGCTGAAGTAAGTTGTAAGACTGTCTGGAATGCTCTTTTTTCTTTTCCATAAGATCTTCCCTATTATCTGTACTTTCTAAGTGATATTCTTCAGGAATCAAAAAATTAGATTTGTGCTTTTCTACACTACCTGTTGCACTATCTTCTGTTGTTGCCTTTCCATTTGTTGACGTGCAATCGTGTTCAAATGCTAGTCTTGTTTCTTCACCTTCTAAAATTAATTTAACGGAATTTGCTTTTGGAATGGTATTTTCTTTGTTTTCTCCGATACAATCTAAAGAGACATCTTTAGACCCTGATTCTGATTCAGAAAAGAGATTTATTAAATTTTTTCGAGAAGAGTTCTTCAATGTCTCATCTTCACAGAGTGGAATTTTATGATTTTCCTTACCCTTCAATAAATCACATTTATCCCTGTAAAGCAACAAACATGTGTTTCTTGACTTGCTTTCATTTAAATCTGCCTCATCTACTGCACTGTTATTTCCAGAATAAAATTTATCATTTGTGTGTAGGAGTTTGTTTTTGTTTCCCTCATCTAATGCACTTTCAAATCCCTTTGAAACATGCATTCCTTGTACAGACTTCACACTACTCTCGCTGTCAACTGCATAAAGCGTATCTGAGTTTTCAATTCTAAGACAAAGATCCTGTGAATCTATTTCTTCTGGTATAGGAATGGACTGTCTTGAACACACAGTACTTTTATGCAGAACTGACTTTTCATAATCTTCAGTGGTCATTATTTTTGGTACAGATTTGGAAAACAGTTTCTCAGAGTGTAATTTTTCTTTGTTTTCGTCAATTACTTTATCCACTGATACTGAATCCTCAATTCGTAAGCACAAATCCTGAGACTCCAATTCTTCATTTGCTCTGTTTACAGGTTTTTCTTCCTCAATCATTTTCTCATCTTTTTCTGAGTTAGGAGCTATTTTTATTGTATTAGAAATATTTTGCTCAACTCGCCTTTCTTCACCGGTTTCAGTATCATCAATTCTCAAACACAGGTCTTGTGAATCTACATCCTCATATGCAAATGGAGCTACCGAATTTATTTTCACTTTCACATCACAAGCTGGTGAGACATTTCCACTTTCTCTGATACATTGTTTGTTCATTGCACTTCTTGTTTGTTGCAGTTCCTTTTCAATTGAATTTACAAATATTTCTGTATCATTATCCACAACTTGAAAACTGCTAGAATCTTCTGTAGCAATCTTGACATTCGCATTGCTTGTTTTGCTACCACATGTTTTTTCTACATTACTACTATTATCAGGGAAACACACACTTGTTTTAAAGCCATCTTCAGCACTACCAATTTTGACCACACAGATTTCATCACTTTCATTCTCAATATCTTTTGGTGATTCTCCTTTTTCAATTTGATCATTGTTATTTGCAATAGATTTTGATTGTGGATCGCCACAGGGTTCATCAAATTTCTTTTCCTGAGTTGATTCCGGCTTCAATGGCTTGTCTTCGTCTGAACTTGATTTATAGAACTCTTCAGCTTCTTTAGCCCTCTTTGCCACTTGCTTCCTGCCAAGAGAAAAAAACATTATAACCAAATTTTTGAAACTATAAACACAAACTAACTATTTCTTAATCTAAATTTAGTGGATCTACAAAACTGAAAAGTTATTTACACAAAACATATGCAGAAATGAAGTCTTAAAAAATATTCATCTGTGTTTAAAATCAAACAGCTTTATTGTTACTGCATAAATGAAAACTACATTGTAAGAATTTAAAACATTACCACACGTTCAACTGTAAATAAAAAGAAAAACCATAACCTACAAATTAATACACTTAAATCATTGAAACTAAACCTGTCTACCAGTGAAATATGATAGATAATAAAAGTAAACAGACAAGATTCAAAATTATTACCTATCAGCAACATTCACACCACCTGTCAAACAAAACAGATTAACTTACGCCAAGAGTTTCAATTCATCTGCTGACATTCGTATTGATTTAGTAGGAACAGATGGACGTCTTTGTAAAAACTCTGCCAAAGTTCGTTGACGAGGTTTGTGATATGGGAGAGAGACACGTGACTGACGGACGAGCCGTTGAGTTTCACTGTGAATTTCATCAACTTCTTTCTTTTTCTATGAAAACAAAACACATTCATTATGAAAACAAGCAACAATCACTAGCAAAATGTATTCACAAAATCTCCTAGAAAATAAAAAACTTTAGTACCACAGGATAATCTTATCCACTTACACATAAAACCACTGCAAATAAAAAGTACACAGTGTTGAAGTGGTGAAGTTTGTTACAACGAATGTTAGGTCAGCCAGAATAATACAATTGGGCTTTAATTTTCCCGACAAAACAATTTTTTTCATTATATTTGAAAAATTAATTTGTAAGGTTTCTAACAACAATTCTACATCAAGGATTGGATAATCAAGCTTCACTCATGCTTATATCGTCACTTAATAACAGATAACATTTGTTATGGTAATCAAGTTGCTTTCAATACCAAAAGTAGTGACATTTCAAATAAAAATTCAACATTTTTCTGAATCTCAATCTAAAAGGAACTTTTCATTAAAACATGCTTCCAAACATCAGTCTCATGGATTAAGCAAATTATTCCCAGATTATAATTGGAAGCCTGTCTTAAAGTTCTGTATCTGATATTCTTAAGGAATTAAAACATGAATGCAAAACCCATGCCCAATTGGACTTTTCAGGCTTTCTGAGCTGTTTCAGGTTTGGCAGGCAGCTTGTAAGGTAGAAAAATGAGAACAAGTATTTCTTTGATGAGCCCTCTAACAACAAGAATGGAGAGTGCTGATTCCTTCGATTCTCTCTCTACATCTCACAGGGGGCAGCATAGAGTTCCTGCACGATTTTTGTCATTTAGTACTTTCATTCTGTAATAAAGTTCATGATTGTAAGTTAAAATAACTAATATAAAACCATTCTGATTGTTTTGAAGCAAATCATTCATAGAAGAATTCTTGGTTTAATGCTTTCTAAGGTATCTGTGACCAGAATATTATTATTGTTGGCACATACCACCTAATAAAAATATATCAAAATACTGTCAGGAGTTTAAAAAAAAGTTGATCAACTGTCAATAATATTATTTGCCTATAAAGTTAAAGGATACTTACATCATTAGTTTTTGCTGATTTTGATTTCTTCTCAAGAGTCCTATTCTTTGATGACTTTGATTTCTTCTCAGCAGATTTTTTCTGTTTTGTGCCTTCATCACTAGATCCTTCAGCATCATAGCTATTTGATATTTCAGTTTCTTGTGTATTAGTACTGGAAGGATTAATATCATCCTCTGAATCTTCGGCGTCATAGAGATCTTTATTTGAGAAAAGATGTTTGAACTAAAATATAAATGAAATTGTTCTGATACATTAAAAATGAATACAAAAGACTTAATTCATTAATGTTAAGGTTTCTAAAAATAATGTTTTACAATAAAAAATCCAGTATTTCTTATTTAAATCAAATTTATCATCAGATACACATACTCCAAAATATTTTTAAAACGTGCACAAGTATTGTAAGGTTTCAATTTTTTGTTCTCATTTGCTTTTAAATATAGTAATTGTTGGGTGAAAAAATTTTTCACTGTGGTTGAATTAAATGACTAAATACAAAAACTTAAGATTTATAGTTTACAAAGTTGTACTAATTAGCTGTAGTAATATTTAGATGTAAACAGAAAACAGGTATTCTCCTCAAAGGCAAACAGTGATAAAGCCTCTAGTGTTCTATGCTGACAGCCTATGACTTTATACGCATCGTTGCAGTTGAGGTTTCTAAAACTCATGATTTTTATTAAAAATAAATACATAAATAAAATTTTAAAAAATTTGACTTAAATCATTGGCCAATGATTTTGCATTTATAAATCTTAATAATTCTCACAGTTTTGAGTATCTCTGGCCCCCTGCCTTGACTTTATTAAGCTTTTGTTTCAGCTGAAAATTTCCTTTTCAGTGCTGTGAGAAAAGTGTTTCATGAATCTGGAGTCACAGAGAAAGAGTTTTCATAAACTATACAAGACATCATACACAAAGAATGTAGAACAAAGAAGTGTGAGATGTGCGCAAGAAAAAAATTGAGGGCATCACTTAACCATAGCCCTTTGTTATTCACATATGGCGACAAACATATTTTAAGGCCCCAGAAACCTGACGTGAACTTAGCAATCCCAATTGTAGTTTCGTATTTTTCTCATTATCGACGGGCTTTTAAATTGTCGTGTTTTTCTGAAAAGAATTTCTGGTTGTTGTAGTAATTGTCACATGTTGCCTTTTGTGAATGTTAATTTTCAAATTTTGTATACATTTACGCCACTCACATACATTTGATATGATCACACAGACCATTCTTGGTTGCATCCAGTGCTGCTTCGGTGCATGATTATTGTGTGACTTTGTGTAGTCTAGTTATTTGCCTATGGTAAATAAAGATTTTCAAAATTCAATCATCAGATTTCAAACCTCTTCTTGAATCAAATACTTTCATTTGTGTAGTTATCAAGATGTCTAGACCAAGTAATGTTGAGTTTCAGGAGTGCATTGATTAGTATGATGAAAATGCCTTATGGATTATTTTAAGGAAGCAAATAAAGTGATTACAACTCCGGAAATTATTCTCACAAAGATAATATTAGTGCCAGAAGTAACTATAGCGACACCATTGAGTAAGAAGATGCTGCCATTATAATATGTGCAAAAGAAATATTGTTCGAAACACTCATCATGCTGAAGAAAATGTTTTCAATGTAAAAAAGAAAACCAATTGTTGTCAAAGAATAGAACAAATAGTATTAAAAGAATGAATTTTCATTGTTGTCAGTTCCAACAATCAAAAACAAAGAGTATTATCATTTATCCCCCACAAGTCCAATGAACTCACCTCAGGCTCATTTGGCTGAAAAAAATGTTTGGGCTCTCTAGGGTTAAGGGGCTGGTCATTGGTCAGTGACAGAGGTAGTCTTAATAGGAGTACAAGTTTCTTACAATATATGTGATTTAGTATCAGTTCCAAGAAAAAACAGATATCGAAAGAGGTAGTTGTTTAATAAAGGAGTTTTTTCAGAGAGGTTTCACTGTTTTTCAATAGACAAAAACATTAGAGCAAAAGTGTTTTTTTCAAAAAATATATTCAATTTTAAAATACACAGAACTTGGTTAAGAAAAGTTCTAAAGACTACACTATAGAAGATGTCACTGGTTACATATGATGCCAAATCTTTAATCATCGATGAAAAATTCACTATTATGAAACTGATCAGGGAAGCCTAACAGTGAAGGAATATTTTTATTCACAATTGGAGAATAATGCTTTGAAAATAATGGAAAAAAGATTTCTCAGGTCTTTAATTTATCAAAAAATAAAATTTTTTTTCTCTATTTCTTTAAATGTTCTTCAACTGGTCGACAACGCTGAATTAAATGTAGATACACTTTTCATTCATACTATATTTTGATTAACTGCAGAAATGAAATAATGAAACTAGATTCTTAAAACTATGTTAATGGCAAAGTAATGTTGAAAACACCACTGTTTGGTTAAATTAATAAATTACAATTATAGTCCCTGAAAACATCAACTTAAACACACACATACTGTAGGGGGAAAAAATCATTTGTATAAAATGTTGGCCGATTTTTGAATACTCACATTTCTTCCCTGCTCCGTTGTTTCTGTAAATGGAGTAGGTAAAGATGAGAATTCGTTTTCTTTGCGTAATCCATTTTCCGTAGATTCTGAAACTTTTCGTGATGAAATAAAAATTTCATCATCGCTTGATGTGTCATTCTTTAAATCTCTGTCATTACTTTCACTCTGTGTAGGATTTTCATGTTCGTAATCATTTTTAGTCGGCAAGTCAGTGTCGATTTCCTCATCACTATCATCACTTTTAATGCAACTGCTCTTATGACGTTTGACTGTAACAATATCCTCATCAGAATCCTCGATGTTATTCGACGTCATCACGTCGTCTTCAGAATCTAGTCGTACTGGCATGATAGATAGCGACGGAAAATATTATTGAGCTCTGAAATATATACGAACTACCGCTATTATCTCTCGTTCCAAAATACTCTGAACGTTTCAACTAATGGAGACATTTATACATTTTTCAAAAAATAAGATTGCCACTGTGTATCAAACACAATTCCATACGATGCACCCCAATGCACCCTGCTCTGAAGCCTAACCCTGAACATCACAAAAGCGCGCGCAAATGTGTGAGAAGATTCGTATACGTACGATCGGTAAATCAGTTTAACCAACACACAAGTATAAGAGGTCTTACCATGGATGAATATATTGTAATCCATGGTCTAACGCGGAATAATAAACACATTCTGATTATTCATCTGCCATTCAAATTGCGTATTGAATATTTAAACACTACAAATAGGTGTTACTGTGTTCGAGTTTTTTGGAACAGTTTAGTACTGAACATTCGGTCAAAGTTCACTTTAAAGAGAATTGTTTCTTTCAACAAATCGTTCACAAGAGTAATAAACTTAATTCCTCCCGCCCCATTTAAATGTTAACGTGATCACGGCTGCATTTCGTCGTTGATTTCACTAATAATCCCTCTTCCCGCCTGTCACCTACAGCCACTTAAACGACACTTTTTCACAATTTCTGTAATTTTTCAAAGAAAAAAATTGGAGCAATTTTAGAGAATTAAAAAATAAGTCTCTGGGGTTTCACGTCAATACACTCAAAAATTACATTAAGTTTTTAAAGATCGCAGAGCTTCGAGTCGAGCCAGATTGACCGAGGAATATTCTTTTTTTTTTTTATTTTACATCAAAAACAGTTACAAACTGCGTGTGACGTGCCACGGGAAGAAATATATTCTGTGTACGTTTTCTTAATTCTGGGATTCCTACCCTAAGCCATATACAAGTTGAATTCTGAATACAGAAAGAAATGAGCGTTTTGACAAGAATTGTTAGCAAAATATTCGCTTCGGAAAACGTTCTATGAATTGTTTAGACGCTATAGTGTTGTTCACAAACGGACGTTTGAAACTAGTGGAGTTAGAGAATGGCACAGACTTTCTCGTACTAGTTAGATTTCTAATTTCTTTGGTCTGGGTTAGGTTTTCGGTTTTGCTCCAACCTTCTTCCCAGCTCCAGTCTATCGTCGCGTATTTTGAAGCTCATTTTCACTCAAAACTTTTGTGTTTTTGAGAAAATTTATAAGAAATTATTTAAAGTTATTGTACTCACAAATACAATTAAGTATAGACATCGCTGTTAATGTAAATATTAACAACGCGAGAGGTATTTCAAAAAATACATTTGTGTAATTTAAAAAACAAAACAAAAGTATACCTCAAAATGGCATTGATATCATGTTGTTTAGTTTATTTAGCATTCTTGGTTCAACAAATTAAAAGAAAAAATGAAGCCGTTTCGAGAAAATGGGAGGTCATTGGTTTGAGTCTCGGCGGTGGCAGGATTTTCGCCATCAGCTAGATAGCTAGGTCGAGTACAGTTGTCTGGTGGAGAATTCGTGATCCTAAGATAAAATAAATCTAATTGCACTAAAGTAAATCTTACAGGATTTGCATTTAAAGTTGAGGCATTAATTTAAGTGACAAAATATCTACAGAACTTTGCGAGTTTCTAGCAATTTTCTTTTCCTATTGTGGATCCAAACATTTGATTGCAGTACGGAACCTTATGGAGTATTACCTTCTTTCTGCCAAATACAAAACAAACTATACATTTGTATAGTAATTTTTTAAAATGCCTAATATGCTTGTAACAAATAATGCACTTCAGCTTCCAGGTCAATGAGCCCCATCTCGATCAGGTTTTTGTCCAATTTCCCTGATACATTGAGCAAATGCTGAGACGGCCCCTTGTTTTGCTTCAGGACGTAAATGTAGCTTCACTATGCGCACGTTTTATTGAATTCTCATTTTGCCTGTAGTGGTAGGAGCAAAGGTAAGGGCGAGTTACTATTTTGTTAGCAATGAAAAAAAATCAAGTCTGCATTTCGTTGCAAATAAGTTTTCAATAACTCAGGAACGAAAATGTCTCGTTTTTCAAATGTTGCTAATCTTGCTTTGCTCGTTGTTTTAAAATGTATTTCTATTTATTTATCTTTAACTTTTACTCATATTTCAACTATTTATAGTTAAAATGATGAGACGGGATTCTGTAACTCAAGAAAAGAGCAGTGCGCAGATGATCTTCTCCCCTATACGTCACATGCAGTTTTTACTGTTTTTGACTGAATAAATCTAATCTACAATTTTACATAAGAGTTTTTTACAGAGCTGTGTTGCCAGTTCATAAAGACTCGGATTACTGGGCTCGTTCATGAATAATGTCATTATTAGAAATTCACCTTTGAACGAACCGGATCCCACGGCCACGTACAAGCGCTCGAGATATATGCTACAGTAGGCGAAACGCCAATACTTGCATGAAAATGGCTGTAAACAACGCCAAAAGCGCACCGACTGGCTATTTTCTTTCCTGACCTTGTTTATTTTCTATGTTACAGATCAGCCACAATGTCCGAAAGGACAGAGATATCTACACAGCAGGTAACTGTGGCGGCATTGCACCACGCGGCCACACGGAACTGCGCTGCAAAGCAAGGAGCTGTTGATACAAACTATAAATATAATTCTTGGATATCACAAGGGATTATGACATAATGTAAAAACAAACGAATTCTTTCTTTCATTTCTAAGCATCTAAATGTATATAAAGATTTCCTCCTCTACTTTAAAAAATACAAATCATTGTTAATAAAAATCATAAGACAGCCTAAAATAATGAAACATGATCAGGGTATTCTGAACTCAAATAATAAAACAATAACAATGTGAAGTATAGTAAAAAATTCGACCAAATCAACTAGAAACATTGTAGAGAATGTTGTTTTAGAAGATAACGAGAGAAATGTGAACGATCCGGCAACAGTGGCTAGTCTCTTTAACCAACACTTTTGGAGATTTACTGCCGTTCTCACTAAGGGTCTCCAGCCACAAAATTCAATATCAGACGTTTCCCCATGCGAAATATTGCTTAGACGAATTGGAAGAGCATTAGCAGAAACTGCAAAGAGAAGTTTTGTGCACCACCTTCTGCGTTATCCCGAAAAAAAACGACACATAATTGACAAAGATTATTTCTCTGCCGAAAGAATCAATGAGTATTGAAGAAATTGTCATGGTTATCTAAAAAAACCAACGATCTCCTTATGAATTTTACGTCATTCATTCCATCTGCTTTTTCACTCCGCGTCTCAGAGCGCTGGTTCAAGAAAACATGATAATTGCTTGCTGCCAACGTTCCACAAATTTTCAATATGCTTATTGCTTAGCTCCTCAGCACGATCGCTACAAAAGTGGTCGTGGCCACTCTGAATTTCAAACAATGCGAGCTCGTCGTGTCTGATATGGAAAAAAAATTGATTTCCAGGAAATCTAACCATGGGCAACTCTTTCACCGCGGCCGCCCAGAGGGTGGTGCAACCTATTAGTGATTTTCCGAAGCAACATGGATTTGTCAATATGGATTTCGAAAATCAAAATCTACGGAAACAGCCATTTTTTTCTTTTCTTAAAGATATCGCCTCGTCCATGGATCAAAACGAAGCACCTATTGGAATATTTCTAGATCTTTCAAAAGCTTTTGACGTCATTGATCATAACATTTTGCTCTCAAAATTACCTTCGTATGGAATTCGTGGTATTGCTCTAGATTGGTTAAGTTCGTGCTTTCAACAACGATCTCTGAGAGTAGAAATTCCTTACTGGAACAATGAAACATTGTGCACATACCTTTCTGATCCTTTGCCAATTGCATGTGGAGTTCCGCATGTGGATCGCCAATTGCATGTGGATCGATTTTAGGCCCTATTCTCTTCCTACTATACCCTGCTTCCTGATATGCCCTCGACGATTAGTAACAGAAGAACAGTTCTCTTTGCGGACGATACGAATATTCTTTGCAATAAAGAAACCGTAAATAGTACAATATCATATATTTCAAATTGGTTTCGTAATAACAAATTATTAGTAAATGAAAAGAAAACTGTTTCGATGCAGTTCTCCATTTAAAATAAACAGCTCGACACTTCACTGAAAATGAACGGGGTGCCGTTGACTGATGTTAAGGTAACAAAATTTTTAGGTTGCGCAGAATTTTGTGAGACTATTTTATTTCATTGGCCAATATTTCAACTCATTATCCAATTTTTAGAGCCATAATTCTACAATAAGTTATTTTGTAATGTAATATGATTATTCTTTTTATAAATAATAAATCTATGACAATCCTTTCAACAAAAGACTGTTATTGTCTGCACAGTGTAGCAAAATCAATTACGACCGTAAAATAATTTGATAGAATAAACAATGAACAAAAATTTAAAAAAATCACACATTATCAGTTGGTTCACGAAATAGTATTAAAAATACAAACAACTTCAAAACATGGAGACAACTGTGTCAAAGAACGTGCAGAACGTATGTTTGCTTTCTGGCGTTGCCAACATTAGAGGAAGACATGAAACCCGCTTAGCTAAGTCGTACTTCTAGATCGCCGCGAGGGGATTATAGATTTAAGATTTATTCAGTCAAAATAACAGTAAAAACTGTATGTGGCGTAGGGGGAGAGATATTATCTGCGCACGTTTTCTTGAGTTCCAGAATCCCTTCCCGTCATTTTAACTATAAATAGTTGAAAGATGAGTAAAAGTTTAACATAAATAAAAGTAAATTTTAAAAATCGCAAGATTAGCAATATTTGAAATATAGTCATTTTCGTTTCTGAGTTATAGAAAACTTATTGACATCGGTATACGAATTGCAAGTATGATTTTTCTGCTTTGCTAATAAAATAGCAACTCGCCCTGACCTCTACTCTTACCATTGCAAGCAAAAGGAGAGTCCAACAAAATGTGCGTATAGTGAAGCTACATTTACGTCCAGAAGCAAAACAAGGGGCCATCTCAGCATTTGCTCAAAGTATCAGGGAAACTGGACAAAACCTGATCGAGAGGGGGGTCATTGACCCGGACTGGCGAAACGCGTCTGCCGTAAGCTCCCTTACATTTAGAACTTAAATTTTGAGCCAGCTTAACAAATTAACGCTTAACGAATTATGCTGGGGAGGAGGAAATCAACGCAGGTGAACGAAGAACGAAATGGGCCAGTATTGAGCATCTTACATGTAAACAAAGGAAGAGAGCGTTTTATGAACAAGAAGGCAGAAGGTATTCCGACCCAGTGACGATCGGATAGTAGAAGCTAGTTGACCGTGTTAATGGTAAAAATGTTTAAAGTCGGAAATGTAAAAATATTGTGTAATCGGATGACAAACATGATGACTAATGGTGTAATTGGACTATGCTGAATTATAATTTGGAATGTAGGTGGAATTCGTCGGTTAAAAAGGCAGAGATCCGAACCAGGAAAGTGACAAAAAACGGCCATGCAAAATACCTGGATTATGGAAAGGTCAAGTTTTGTTAAAAATAAGTAATTTGGGTAATGGCCATGCATGCACGGGGAAGTAAAAAAAGTATATGAATGTGTGAAATCTAAATAATGGTGTGAATGGGAATATTAAATGTGTAAAAGTTTTCAAGGGTTATTATTGTTTGTTGTTTTGTTTTGATTGCTACAGAAATGCGTTGTGTACATTTTTGTTTTATTTAAGCTGAAGAGAAGCAATTTATAACATTTTTTTTTAAAAAAAACGATATTATTTCGTACTGGTAAGGAGAATTTCCAAGTCCAAAGGTTTAGTTTGCTTAAATACTTTTTGCGTAAATTTCGTCGCCGCAATTCCGTAAGGACGGTCCACCCAAACAAATTTTCTCACAACGGATATTCTTGGCAAACAGATAACAGTATTGGTGGGAATAAGGAATAGAAATTTGGTTTCAATAGTTGAGGCTGCGAAATATTCGTTAGATACTTTGGGAGAGCATTAGCAGGAACTGCAACGAACTTCGCCTTTTCTATCGATAACTTTCATCAGTCAAGAGTGTTCTGGAAAAGAAACGACACTCAATTGACAAAGGTTCTTACTTTGGAGAAAGAGTCAACGAGTATTGAAAAGATTGTCATGGTTACCTCTGTCCAGACGAAATCAAACGTTTCGTTACGAATTTCGTCATTTTTACTGCATGTTAGACTGCAGAAAGGTATTGGGAATTACCTGGCTCGCCCCGAATCGAACCTTGAATGCGACAAACACGTTTTACTGAGCTTTCTGCACTCGACAAACTGTTCTGCAAGTCACCTCAGATGACAATGCGAGCTCGTGGCGTCTAAAATAGAAATAGCTGGATTCCAAGAATTTTGACAATGTCCACATGTTTTTCACGCGGCTGCCCAGGAGCTGATGCGATCTTTCGGTGACGCTCCGAACTAACCGGAAGCAGTTGACAATCTATGTCATGTACGAAAGAAGTATTTCATCAACTGGGAAGAAATTCCTGAAAAATATAATAAATGATCTAATAAAATAAATGATCCTTTCCTCTGAAATGCCTTCAAGGAGCGACAAAACTGCAATGTTCGAAACGTGGCGCCAAATTTGAATCAATTTGGCGGTCAATGCCAACAACAGTATAATTACTCAATAAGTTCCGGCACATTGGTATGCCGACGTGAGGCTAAGATAAAGAGTAATATAATTATTATTATTATTCACGTTATTATGCATTTGATCGAAATAATAAATACCATACAATTGTCGTTGAAAGGGGGTGAAAATCAACCACGCTTAATTTCGATGTCGACATGCGTTCACAACAATTCAAGTTTCATTAATATTTGATGGATAAACAACCTGTTGTCACTTGAAGTTGCGCCTTTGCGAGTTAGTTCCCTTTTGAAACATTGAGCGTGTGGACTAATCGTCCTTTAATCGAGTCAGCCATCGTCAGTCGTTGACTTTTATCCCTTCGACCAGAAGCTCGTCGCCGTTCGACCAAAAACACCATACGAACACATTTCAGTTATAAAGATATTTCAATTAATGTACTTGAAATATACTCATTACACAACTAGTAATCTATGAGGACAAATTTACCATACTAAATTATTGTTGCAATATTCCACTGAACAATATTTATTACAATGAATCTTTGAAATTTGATCCTCAATGGTTCATATATTTCGTCTATTTGATTTCATTGAAAAAGAACACATTGTTTTTCCAAAAATTCTTGCCATGATTACCTATTACTAAGCATTTCACCTACCATGTCATATGCTCTTGAAAACACAAACATTCACATATTCTTTTATATTGACAAACTTTTCATGAAATGTTATAAGGCACAATATTTAGAGAACATGCCAATTTGAGTAATGGTTTATTTTAATTTCTGTAAAATCTATATTTTTATACTATGATTGCTTATAAAAAACAATATTTTCCAGTTCATTTGTTAATATTTTCGGCCTCATATATCTTTGTCAAGATCAGCCTACAAAAAGCAGTTCTATTTAAATAATCAAAGGTAATTACATTTCTCAAACATTAAAAATATTTCAAATAATATTTCTGCGGCACATTTCTTGCCTCATGATTCTGCATTGTTGAGCAACAATTACACTTCGATATCACAAACCGTTTAGACCTTCTGAAGGTGGCCCATAGTTGGAGAACCATCCTGTATATCAGATAAGATATTTTTTGTGACCGATCTCAAGGAAAAAATTCTAACTTGCAAAAACATGGCAAGAAATAAAACAGCTTTTAGTTTTTGAATGCACAACTTCTCCAATTTATTGCAGGTGAGCATAAGACATCACTTCTAAATTCATAGCTCAGATAAACAAAGTGTGTGGACATCTGGAGGGTAGTTATGGATTTTGATCATTTTGGAAGAGTAAAAATTTGAGTGAAGTAGGACAAAAAACCACCCTAAATTAACTCTCAAGGAAGCACCAGGTCCAATTTTAAGGTGTACTAGAAATATACCTTAAAATTGGATATCCCAATGTATTATTTATTTCAGTTGAGTAAAACAACATATTTAACAATCGTAGATCTATACAAAATATACATGGTTTTTTAAAAATAAATATATTAACATTAGCATTGAGGTTAAAAGTTATATGAATGATTCAGAACTACATTATTTTAATACAAGTCATACCATTCCATATGTATTTTCACATAAATGATAATTTCACTTCAAATAATTTTCACAAAAAACAATATAATTAATGGAATGTACTTTTCAAGTAATACAAAAATTACTTCTCAGGGGGCTTTGAACCCATTACGGTGGTGCGATGAAGTACTCTAAGGCCAACTTTTTCACGTGGAAACTGAGTTTCTGGAGTTGCTTCATGACCAACAGCTAAGTTGTCAGATATGATGAAATCTCCGTCTTCCCACTATTGAAATAACAGAAACATCCATTATTTAAATATTAGAGATAATTCTAAATAAGTGCATGCTCAAATAATTTATTCTTTTGCATTTAAAATCAAATTGCTACACATTTTATTTATGACAATCATTATTTATTGAATTTAATAATTTTTTTTGAGAGTTGTTACAGAAGGTATGCTAGCTGAAAATAATCATATATTACGAAATTGGACAGAATTCAAGATTGCAGATGATCTGTTTGTTGTATTATAAATAAATGGCAACCAATGCAGGAAGTTGTTTATGGGCACAATACCCTTCTCTTCTCATTGAAGATATCTTTATGACACTGCTGATTTACAAGGAGAGAGACAGGAGGATTGTTACAAATTACAGTTTAACATCAGCAGTCAGAAAACAAACGAAACACGTAATTGTGAAGTATATAAGATGAGTTCTGAAAAAGAAAATTAATACTGTTTTTCTTCCTAAGAATTCATGTGACAGACTATTACTTTATGCCAGAATATAACTTATTTATGCATGAATGAAATAGGACCAATGCAATATTAGCTTTTTCTATGACATTTGATTTTGTTGCAAATGGTCTTCTAAATGCCAAGTTGGAAGTAACTGGAGTAGACCATTGAACAATTGAGCATTGAACATCTTGTGCTTTAAAGAAATTCTCAGGAAGTGTACTCAGCCTGAGTAGGTGTTAAACACTCATCCAAAGCTGTTAAGACCTCTGGGGTCCACCAGAAGAGTATGTAGGATATGCACTGTTCTTGGCTTTCATTAATGATATTGAAACAAAGTACATTTTCATTGCCAGATGCTTAATTAGAATTACCTTCTGGACTGGACGTCCATGGTCTATAGGAAATCATATTTCCAAATGTTTCATCTGCAACTGTGGCAGACATCATCAATGGCAGAGTGCTTGTGGAAGAAGTATCCTTCCAGACAGCTTGTAGGTGAGGTTAGTCAGTTTTAATTATGATAGTGATAATTATTTATTTAATTAATTCATTTCATCAAATCTAAAATTAGGTTTGTTTATGTCTGCAAAATATATAGGAATACTGGCTCCTCTGAGGATGGAAAAATTCTTCAGAACATTCTAAACTGTTTATAGAACTGGGCACACAGGTATTGGGGTATGAAATTACTTTGGTTTGAAATCAGTTTCAGGGGAAGAAATTGAAGCCTAACAAGACATAATATAATGAGAAAATCATTTCTGTAGTTCCATTTTGTTTTTTGGCACTGTCTTCATTTAATTTTTGAGATGTCAATTCAAGTTTTCAGAGAAAAGATAATTGGTTCACAAAATTCTAAACAACAAAGAATGCAAGCGACAAGACAAGGCAGCTAAAGTGGTGAGCACAGAAATGTGCTTATAGTGACACACTATACAGTAGCATCTACAAAAGCAGCTCATTTTCCTCCTGTGGAGAAATGCAGTAAGGAGGGTTGCCTTAGCGGCACACATCTCAGCTCCTGCCTCCACTGAATCGCTCACAGTTCCCTTTCCTTTCATGTTTGATACTTTACCCAGCCCATATTCTGAGTTGAAGGGTTTATAGGTATTCAGACATATGCACACTAATGCACTTACATCAGCCAACAGAAGTAAATTATACATTTCTCATATGAATAAATCTAACAAAATTTTAACTAACATTCGATAACAAAGAGAAACTGAGTGAACAGTGCATACAGAAAACACATGCTTTATGATAACACGCAAACTGCAAAATAATCTATAGACAGAAAGTAAGAAAGTACAAATACACATCTTGTTTTGAGATATAAAGGCAGGACCCATTTGCTTACTCCACAAGATTAACCTCTTTATGGCTCAGTCCAAAAACTTTCTACGAATACACACAAATTAAGATTGTAGTATGTATGAAAAAGAAACAATCAAAAGCTGAATGTTTCTGAATCATAAGTTAACAAGAATACAATACCTTTTGAAATAGTGAAATTTAATGTAACCCTTAAGCCCATCTTGTTCCTGTATCTTTAACATTTATGACTGACGTAACCTGTGGGCCTTTGTTTCTTCAGTGCTTGTACAATCGATTAGCATCAAAGGTTGCAATAACATGCTGCCAGAGGGCTCCAACAACGACTGTGCATGCATGATCACGATAACAATGGGCGAGCGATATCCACACAAAATTAATTTGGCAGTTAATGGGTAAATATTTCTGCTTGAGATAGCTATTTTGTTCATTAATACCAGAGGTAGTCTGTGGGCTTTTTTTTTTTCAGAGCTTGTACCATTAATCTGAGTGTAAGGATCTGGTCCCTCAATCTTACACACACAGTGGCTGGTGAGGGATAGGGATTGTAGGAGGACTAAAGGTTAAAAACGTACCCTATATTCTGATTTATTCATAGTGGTGCCTCAAGGCCACGAGCAGGACAAAGACTGTTATCTATTTGGGAGCTTCGTACAATTTAAATTTTTGATATTGGAGCAACTGATTGGTTGACAATGTCCTTCTCTCCTTCCAGCTTGTGACCTTGAGGCACCACTATAAATAAATCAAAGTATATGCAACAGAGGGATTGAAGGTAGCTCACTCAGATGTGATGGAAACTTACCTCATATGCCCCCTATGCCAGGCTACCAAGATTAACAAGATCCGATAAGAAAAGCAATGCATGAAGGGTGAGAAAGACAATCATGCTACAACAGTGAAAACAACATGCCTATGCAGGACCTGAACCTGCAACTCCATGAACCTTTAGCATATCTCCTTTAGTGACTACAGCCATTACAGTTAAGTAAATATTTATTTAACTTATTAAATAATTTTTAATTATATTAATCACTGATTTCCACTATTTTTATTGTCAATCATTATTCACCCATAATTGATCATCTGTAACACGATGGACCCGTTCCTCACATACTGATGTATGGATTAGATTAAAAAAGCAAAACATTCAAGACCATCACCATTAGGTAACTGTAGTGATAATGGCTTTAAGGGACGCAATCTTAACAAGTTAGGTTGTTGAATGAGGAATATTAAAGAAATGAGGCCAGCCTCCTTTATTTGTTTTTTTTTTTTTAATTAAAACCATTAGTGTAAGGAACCCTATCAAGAACTTAATAAGAATTCAGTACTAAATTATTTCTTAATATGATATAGTAATAAATAATATATGTTTTTAGGGAAATAATATATCTTTCTAGAAATGTTTTACAAACCTTATGGGAATATTGGATTTTCCCTCCATCTTTAACAAATTCATAATGAATTTCCCTAATTATTTCTTCAAATTCTTCATGGGAAGCATTCCGTTCACGAGGGGTTCCTTTATCCCAGATGAAGTCAGTAGTCATACCAAGATGAAAGCAAAGAACCTGCAATAAATCATGTCCTACTACATATGTGTTGTAATAGACATTGTAATGTAACCTCCTAACAACATTTTTAGAGAATCCTGAAATAATGTTATTAAAATTCTTTCAAAATCAAATTAGAAAATCAAAATCTAAACAACAACAACAACAACAACAACAAGAATGAATGCTCATTACCTTTTTCCCCGAAACAGGATGACTGTATATAAGAGGATGAATTGGTCCTGATCGTCTGTCACTCACCATCCAAAGTCTTACCCATCTTGCTCGTTTGTCTGGACTAAGTCCTTCAATCAGTTCTGTCAGAGGTGCAAATGCAGTATTACCTTGTTTGGGAATAGATACCATGTGGTATAGAGAGTAAGAGAAAGGAGCTGGCTGAAATGATCCATCAATATGCCAACCAGTTCGTCCCACACCTATAAAAAAAAAAACAACCAACAATAAAAACACAGATTCTGTTTTCATGAGCAAAATTAAGAGCTTTGTTTCTATTTTCTTACCGGTACAGCCTTCTTTTGGATCGTTTGAAACTCGGAAAACATCAGGGTGCGGTGATCTTGGATGCTTATAAAATGTTGACTCCAATTCCCCAAACCATTTACTTATTTCCACATGCCTGTCACCCGAAATAACTCCTTGATTTTTGAAGACTAGTATTCGATGCTTTGTAACATCCTCCTTAATTTGTTCAATCACTGAAAATTATAACCACATACAGAAACAAATTACTTATGAAAACTTATTCGGGTAAAGAATCAAGAATTGTGGAAAACGAAAGGACAAAACGCTCTTAGGATTAACTTTTGACAGATCGACATAACCTCTAACTTGACATAACCGGTCATTCAAACGTTGTTACTCGACTTCAAGTATTATCGCATAAAATTATACAAACCTTCCGGTCTGTTTTCAGTTTTTAAGTCTATGCCCTTCACAGCGCATCCTAATTTCAAAGGAAAAGTTTCATAAAATTTTGCCATTGCCAACCTTCCGATCGACCGCATTTATTATAGCACGATTTACTTAGTTTGCACTTGACGTAAATTAACTGTTCCTGTTTCATCCAATCGTGAACTTGTACGTCGCTAGTGACATCACTATGGGGACGTTCAAGCTCTTGATTGGACAAATCGGGCAGAACTGATTTACGTCAAGTATATGGTTAAATAAATTCTAGTATAAAGAGATATTTACGGATTCATGTGATTCATCAGAGCTCTCTAAAATTCTCCAGAGGACGCTGGATTCACGCGAATTCAGCGCAGGCGTAGATCCTAAATATTAAAAAAATACCAGAAGTGTTGATGCAAACGAAAATGAAACCATGGTGAAATAACCCCATAAAAATATGTTGAAGAAATTAGACAGAAATGTTCGGTAAAAGTAATGCAGTATTACAAAAAGATTTTATTTATTTCTGCACAATAATAATTATGATTGATTTATTAAAGTGAAAAATAATTGTAATATTTGAAATAGCTGTCTTCACAAAGAAAATTCTCATGGAAAACAAAGACTTACTTTAAATTCCGATTTACACAACTACAACGATATATACTCTCTGACTACAACACTCGTTAAAAGGATAACCTACATGTTTCCCACTCTGAAACTACACTTTATCAAAAAAGTACCCTAATAGAGGGCATTACACTTTACAACAAACTAGGCAATGATATTAAAAACAAACACAATCCATACATTTAAAAGTAAATTGAAAGCTTTCCTGCTTAACATGTTCTACAGTGTAAAGGAATATTCAAATCACAACATTTCCCTTAAAAATGTAAATAAATATGAATTTCTTATCCCATTAGACTTTCTGTTTCATGTTAACTGTTTCGAGCTGAAGCAAAGAAAAAAGAACTCGCATATCGCATCCTGTGACGTAGAAGGAGAATGACTGACGAAAATGATCTCTCTGGATTCATTAGGCTAGTCGCATTAAGCGCTGCAGAAGGACTACGTGTACAAATAGAAAGAAAGAAAAGACAGAAAGAAAAGAAAGAAAAAAGAAAGAAAGAAAAGAAAGAAAGAAAAGAAAGAAAGAAGAGAAAGAAGAGAAAGAAAAGAAGAGAAAGAAAAGAAAGAAAGAAAAGAAAGAAAGAAAAGAAAGAAAGAAAAGAAAGAAAGAAAAGAAGAAAGAATAAGAAAGAAAGAAAGAGAAAGAAAAGAAGAAAGAAAAGAAAGAGAGAAAAGAAAGAAAGAAAAAAAGAAAGAGAAAGAAGAGAAAGAAAGAAAGAAGAGAAAGAAAAGAAGAAAGAAAGAAAGAAAGAAAGAAGAAAAGAAAGAAAGAAAAAGAAAGAAAGAAAAAAGAAAGAAGAAAGAAGAAGAAAAAGAAAAGAAGGAGAGGTAAGAAAGAAAGGAAGAGAAGGAAAAGAAAAGGAAGGAAAGAAGGAAAGAAGGAAGAAAAGAAAGAAAGAAAAAACAAAAGAAAGAAGAAACGAAAGAAGAAAGAAGAAGAAGAAAGAAGAAACGAACAAAGAAAAAAGAAAGAAGACAAGAAAGCAAAGAAAGAAGCAAAGAAAAAGAAACATAAAGAAAAGAAACAAAAAAGAAAGAAACAAA